CTCCGCTCAGCGCCAGGGCTTCACCAAGCTCTACAGCTCTGGTTGTGAAGAATGCAAAGTAAGTGTCTGAGTCCTGCCTGCCACCTGGAGAGGTCTTCTTGAGCTCTTTCCTGGCTTCTTTCTTGCTCGGTCAGGCTAATTACTTTTCCCTGTGGCTACTCCCCAAACCCCCATGTGCTGTCTCTGATCTTCCCTGCTCTTCTCCCAAACCTGAGACTGTCCTTCTGGACATTCGGGTGATTGCTTTGCCCCATATGCCTCATATCTGGGGATTCACTGTTGTGGCTGCTTCCTGTTCCTCTAACGTTCCCTTATGACTATTCTGTCGTCCTGTTGTTTGTTCCTCATCTTCCTCCTTCCACTTCCCTGGAATTGTTTCTTGGTTTCCTAGAACGTTCTCCAAGAACCCAAAGTGCTGTTCCCCAGCTCACTGACTCTTCCCAGCACATATGATTGTTGCTCTCCAGCTATGACAATTACACACACGAGGGCAAGTTACATTGCCCATTGGACTGTTCCAGGACTGTTCCCTGGTGTCTCTGAATGTCCTGTGATTCAGTGACTGTATCTGAGAGTCCCACAGCTCCTTCCCATGCTTAAGTTCTTCACTCCCCAGCTGTTCCCAGTACTGCCAATTGTTCCCTCCCCTATGGAACAGTTCTCAGGAGACCCATCTGCCTGGTCCCTGCAATTGCCCCCAACCACGAAGAAACTGATCCTTTCTCTGGATTACTGTCACCTCACCAAGTCCAATGACTGTTCCCCCAATGGGAGGAACCTTTCTTGAGTCTGTATCCAGGTGGCGTGACATGATGTCTCTCGAGCAGCTCAGTGTTGAAAGCTTAGGAGAAGAAAATTCTGCTCTGTAGGCGAGAAGTCCTCAGAGATGTGCCTCCCTCCCTTCTTCCAGATATACCCCTGCTCATCTATTCCCTGCAAACTGCAGAGTGACAATCACTGTTTGTGGACGGACCAGCTGCTCACAGGCTCTGACAAGGGCTTCCAGAGCCGCTTTCTTGCCTGCCTGCCACAGAAGCCAGGGTTGTGCAACTGGAAGTCCCTGCGGTCCCGCGACGCCTGAATCCTGCCCCCCGGCAGAAGCTGAAACCTACACAATATTCACCCCCTTTCCCACTTCTGTCTTGCTCTCTTCAAGACAGTGAAATAAAGTCCTAGCACTCAGCAGGCGGTGTCTCTGTGTAGTGTCTGGGAACAAGCCCATGTCACTGATGATCTGGTGGGAGCACCCTGGGACCAATTCCGAGGGGATGAGGGCTGTAAAATGTTGACCTTTAAATTTTACATAAAATTGGAGGTATTGCTAATAATTCTGTACATTGGCATTAGCATTGGTGATCTGCAGTGTCAGTAATTTAACCCGCATCATCAACCACAGTTTACTGGATAATCTCTTTAGTCAATACTTTAGAGCATTTTACTGGACTAATTTATAAATCCTATTTGCATAGGGCTCTCCAGTTCATAAATTCCCCACTGCTGACAAATCACTACTTCTGGCAAATTCCCCTGTTCACAAATCCCTCCAGTCAACAGCCTAGTTGACAAATGCCCTATCAATAGGCTAACAGCTCTCTTCCTCACCGCAGGCATTGTCCTGATGTCACCCAGGGAGCATGTCATGCCCCATTCAAACCTGTGGGTGTTCCTGTCCCAACCATTAGGTTTTGTCCTGTGAGTCTGACTGAAGTAAAATGGGAAAGTCCCAGGGGTCCTAGACTCCCACCCCCACATAACCCAGCCAGGGACTCAGGGAGAAGGGGCAGCCTTCCTCCCAAACCCCCCACCCCCCATGGCCCATGGGAGATTCCTTGGAAAGTGGTTGTTTGGGGACTAGGAAAGATGAACAGAATGATCTGGAAATCCCCTTCTCCCCCTTATCCTTCCTCTCCTTCCCTCATTTCTCTGACCAACTTTGACAGCAGTGAAGTACAGGTAAGGTTTCAAAATCAGAATCAACGAAGTACTTCAGCCCATACCTTTTTCACGAACTCCTCCTGCCAATAAGAACCTAACTATCCTCCAGTGTGTTCTGGATCTCCAATCATGGCCCCTGGATCCTCTGTGGCCCTGTCCTTTAATATTCCTGGACATTCCCCTAGGGCTCAAGGAATGTCCCAGAGCGGGATTGATGGATTTGGAGAACCCAGTCGTCACCTCCCTACACAGAGGACATCCTTGCAGTAACAATTTATGTGTCAACATGTACACATGGTTATGTCCTGGCGTGAATCTGAACCCTGGCTACCAAAAGGGGTGAATGGAAGCCTTCACTGGTGAGTACAACTGTAAGGGAAGAGCTAGGCCCTGGTTTGGCCCTTGTGGCTGTGACTTTATTGTCTCAGCTGCCTGCAAGAGTTTGGCAGCTCCTCCTCTAGCCGGTGTGTCTCAGTTGGTGGAGCGTTGTCCATGCACTAAAGGGTTGCAGTTCAATTCCCGATTCCTGTTTGATTCCACTCATAAAGCCCACCCATACATAGAGCCCCTATTGATCGACACATTCCTGCTGCAACAGCTCCCAGTATATTCCCCCTTATGTTGAAACATCTCTCCCCCGCCTCATTTCTATGAGAACAGCCCTTTCATTTTAAGAATATTGACTGACACCTGCCTCTCATTAGCCAGTCCTGGATTCCTCCTATGCCAGTATTGGTAAATCTGAGGGCCAAATCCAATTAATTACACTGTACAGCCCCCACTAAATTTCCATATGCAAATGGATCTGTAGCTGGACTTTTAATTTTTCCTTCTTTAGTCTCTCAGTCTGCCTAGTCGTGTGTCAGCATTATACTGTTTAAATTAGAAAAGCTTCACCCTGACCGGTTTGGCTCAGTGGATAGAGCCTGAGGAACTGAAGGGTTTGATTCTGGTCAAGGGCATGTACGTTGGTTGCAGGCACATCCCCGGTGGGGGGTGTGCAGGAGGCAGCTGATCAATGTTTCTCTCTCATCGATGTTTCTAGCTCTCTATCCCTCTCCCTTCCTCTCTGTAAAAAATCAATAACATATATTTTAGTAAATAAATAAATTAGAAAAGCTTCATACAATACATATTTGCTGGCAGAAGCATTTGACTTTTTGTAGGCTGGTACAACTGATCCCCTGCCCCCAGATTCAGGGTTTTCCTGGCTTTTATTATATGCTTGTATCTCCATATAAACTTTCCTACCAATTTCCTGGCTCTGAGGTGCAAGGACATTCCCATAGTAATGAGTACATGTAGCTGCCAAATACCATTATCCTCTGGCTGAGTCTGGGAAAGAATAAGATATGTCAGTGAAAAGGTGGGAGTAGGGCATATAAAAATCCACTCCTCCATGAAGCAATGAGAATACTGGCAAAACATATAAAAATTACATTTTCCCAGAATTTTTAAAATTGCCCAAAGTGAATCACAATTAAAAAATGTCTGACTCTCATGAAGAACAGTAAGTTCTGTCCATATGAACGTTCCCTGCTCCCATCTCCCCATTTCCACATCAGCCTTGAACAGCAAGAGCCTTGCAATCCTGACGTGAACCAGCAGCCTAGAAACCCCAGGAGGAGGCAGAACAGGGTTGGGGGTCCCTTCAAGGTTCCATTCTCAGACAACTGTATTTGAACTTTCACTTTCCTAGAAAACTCCACTGGCAGGACTTGTCTATCTGATCTGACTCAGAGTTTACCTGGTGTAAACATCTTTGCCTGAAGCTGCTTTTTAGAAACAATCGGCAGGTGCTAGAGGCAGTGATTACAGTTATAACAAACAAGCTGACCAAAAACCCAACAGAAAGGATGGGCAATGAGAGCTCCATAGGAGCTTTGAAAAGCTCTTTCTGGCAATCTAGAAAGGCACGCGTATGCATAAGGCGGTGTGCCTGCCCAGGATCTCAGACTGACCTCAAGGCTCTGCACAAGTAGTATGTAAATTGCCAATAATTTGTAATATTTTGCTAATAGTTTAATATAGTTTAGTAATTATAACCTACTTCACAGCATAGGTACTAATCACTTGTATTGATAATCCAAATTTGTGACATTGGTAATAAATTGTAATGCTAGTTATAGTATTTGATGTTGTAGTAATGATAATATAATTTCTACCATTAAGTATAATATAATTCAAAACAGGAACTTATAATTAATATTAGAGCATAATTTGTAATATTGATAAATGTAATAATAGTTATAATCATTGATGATACTAGTTATAATTATTCAATTTCTATTAGCAACTATAATTTAATTCATAACCTTGGTATTAATGATTTATATCAATAACAATAATTTGCAGTATTGGTGATAATTTGTAATATTAATGATTATATTTTATGATAATAGCAAAAACAATTCAATTACTATTTGTAAAAAATCTAATGTATAACATTGCTACTGATTATTTTTATTGCCAATCCTAATTTGAAATATTGGCAACATTTATATCAAGAGGAGTATTTGATAATGTTAGAAACAATGACTTAATTTCTATATGTAATATAATCTGATTCATTATATTAGTTCTGTCAGTTTATATTAGAAATCTATTTTTAAATATTTTATTGATTTTTTTCACAGAAAGGAAGGAAAAGGGAGAGTTAGAAACATGAAGGAGAGAGAAACATAGATCAGCTGCCTCCTGCACACCTCCTAATGAGTATGTGCCCGCAACCAAAGTACATGCCCTTGACCAGAATTGAACCTGGGACCCTTGAGTTAGCAGGCTGACGCTACATCCACTGAGCCAACCAGTTAGGACTAGAAATCTGTTTTTAGTACTGGTGAGAATAGATACTATACATAACAGGATCAATGATACAAATCACACTTGTAACCACATAAGTAAATTCACTGTATTAATAAACCCTTCCCAAAGCAATTTCACTCTCCACAGCACATGCCACCCAGTAATACATTCTGATAGTGTACCATTGGTACATATCCATTGGCACCTATTGTAGTAGGCATGCTTTCCCCTCTTGCCCACTCTACTTCCCCCAGACTCACCATCTCTTTGTGATTGGGGTAGAAGGTCTGATCGATCAGAGGGAATTCCTCTGTCCCCAGTTTCTTGTGCAGTCGAACCATCTGGGCAAACTGTGAGAGCCAAGAAAGACAAGTCAGCAAATCCTTCGCCTGGAGGGAGTTTCCAAACTGGAAGTTCCAAGCTTCCAAACTCCCTCAGTTTCCCCAAATAACAATGATTTTGAGCTCCCGCATGCAGTCCCTCTGCCAATAACACCCTTCTTGTCACTTACCACCCAGGGCTTGTCACAGAAGTTGTAGACAGAGTGCAAAGAGTTAACGCTTGGGATTCCAGCATACTGCAGCCCGATGACCAAACTGCGGTGGTCTCCATTCCTTGCCATGCTGAAGGCATGCTGACGAATCAGCACAAAGTCCGGCTTCAGAGACCTGGGGTGTAGGGGTAGGAGTGTTGAGGATCCTCCCCCCAGAAGCTTCCCGCCATCCTTACAATAAAGAGCAAGTTTCCATATTTCTATTCTTTTTTAATTTTTTAATTGATTTTTTACAGAGAGGAAGGGAGAGGGATAGAGAGCTAGAAACATCGATGAGAGAGAAACATTGATCAGCTGCCTCCTGCACACCCCCCACCGGGGATGTGCCTGCAACCAACGTACATGCCCTTGACCAGAATCAAACCCTTCAGTTCCTCAGGCTCTAACCACTGAGCCAAACCGGTCAGGGTGAAGCTTTTCTAATTTAAACAGTATAATGCTGACACACGACTAGGCAGACTGAGAGACTAAAGAAGGAAAAATTAAAAGTCCAGCTACAGATCCATTTGCATATGGAAATTTAGTGGGGGCTGTACAGTGTAATTAATTGGATTTGGCCCTCAGATTTACCAATACTGGCATAGGAGGAATCCAGGACTGGCTAATGAGAGGCAGGTGTCAGTCAATATTCTTAAAATGAAAGGGCTGTTCTCATAGAAATGAGGTGGGGGAGAGATGTTTCAACATAAGGGGGAATATACTGGGAGCTGTTGCAGCAGGAATGTGTCGATCAATAGGGGCTCTATGTATGGGTGGGCTTTATGAGTGGAATCAAACAGGAATCGGGAATTGAACTGCAACCCTTTAGTGCATGGACAACGCCCCACCAACTGAGACACACCGGCTAGAGGAGGAGCTGCCAAACTCTTGCAGGCAGCTGAGACAATAAAGTCACAGCCACAAGGGCCAAACCAGGGCCTAGCTCTTCCCTTACAGTTGTACTCACCAGTGAAGGCTTCCATTCACCCCTTTTGGTAGCCAGGGTTCAGATTCACGCCAGGACATAACCATGTGTACATGTTGACACATAAATTGTTATTTGCGAGGGAAGAACAGCTTGTGCATGTGAAGTGGTTTTTCAGCTCAGCACACATGCACAAGCTGTTCTTCCCCCGCAAGTACCCTTCCCCCATCTGGTGATCCCTTTGAATCTTTCCTACGTGCTCCTCTCCACACCAGGTCAGCTTCCAGCTTACCTACTCAGTTCTGACAGCTTCCTGGTCACAGTGTCTCAGACCACTAGCTGTTCTCACAGGATGCTGCCCAGAATAAATTCCAGCCTCAGGGCCTTTACACAGGTGTTCACTCTGCCTGAAAAATTTTCTCCCAAGATACTTGCATATAGCTCTCCTTCACCTCCTTCCGGTCTTCCTCAAATGTCTCTTAACCTAGTGGTCCACCTTATCCAAATTTCAGACTCCTCCATCAGCCAACAATCCCTTTGCTGCTATATACACTGAGTGGCCAGATTATTATGATCTCTGAACGCATAATAATCTGGCCACTCAGTGTATATTCTATATAATAAAAGGCTAATATGTAAATTGTCCCCTTGACCAGGAGTTTGACCAGCAGGCAGGCCAGCCAACCGCCCATGTCCCCTCCCCCTGGCCAGGCTGGCCAAACCCCACCCATGCACGAATTCATGTACCAGGTCTCTAATATATATATACTGAGTGGCCAGATTATTTTGTGTTCAAAGATCATAATAATCTGGCCACTCAGTGTGTGTGTGTATGTATTTGAGACCTGGTGCATGAATTCGTGCATGGGTGGGGTCTGGCCAGCCTGGCCAGGGGGAGGGGACATGGGCAGTTGGCCAGTCTGCCTGCTGGTCGAACTCCTGGTTGAGGGGGCAATTCACATATTAGCCTTTTATTATATAGGATATACACTGAGTGGCCAAATTATTATGCATTCAGAGATCATAATAATCTGGCCACTCAGTGTATTTTTCTTAGCACTTTTACATTTTTAAAGTAATTTGTTTATTGTGTGCATCCCACAGTAGAATGTAAGCTTCATGAGGGCAGAGAGGTTTTGTGGGGTTTTCGGTCTTTGGGGGAGTCTGTTTTGTTCACTGCCAGGTCCTCAGCACGTAGAACAGTGCCTGTGCACAAAGGGCTCTCAATAAATGTCTGTTCAATGTGAAATGCTGAGAGCGGCACTTGCTACACAGTGGATGCTCAAGAAATAAACTTTGAGTCAATAATTGAAAAGTTGGTTTGTGGTCTGCTGGAATCCTTGACTCTTCTTCAGAAGAGAAGCTATCTCCCACATTCTGTGCTTAAGGTGTTTTTTTTAAAAAATATATATTTTATTGATTTTTTTTTTTTTTTTTTACAGAAAGGAAGAGAGAGGGATAGAGAGTTAGAAACATCGATGAGAATCATCGACCAGCTGTCTCTTGCACACTCCCTACTGGGTAGGTACCCGCAACCAAGGTACATGCCCTTGACTGGAATCAAACCTAGGACCTTTCAGTCTGCAGGCCGACACTCTATCCACTGAGCCAAACCGGCTTTGGCTGTTTTTTTTTGTTTGTTTTGTTTTGTTTTTAATGGAAATTGACAGATAGCATTGTGTAAATTTAAGGTGTACAACTGATGTGTTAATTTGATAATTTATATATTTTAATGTAATTGTCATTGCAGCGTTAGCACATCTATTGTGCCACATAATTATACTTTCATTTTTATGGTAGAATAATTGAGATCTAGTTTCTTAGAATGTTTAATGATTATGATACAACATGGTTGCCTATATTCGCTTTACTGTTCAATAGATCTCCAAGACTTATCTACCAGTTGCAAGTTTGTACCATTAACCAATATCTCTCCTATTTTCCCAGCCCCAGCCACTACTAATCACCTTTTTACTGTTTTTATGAGTTTGGCTCTTTTACATTTCGTACTTGTCTTTCTCTTTCTCATTTTTTTTTTTTTTTTTGACTTTAAGCATGCCAGAGTTTATTACAGATTCGAATCCGGGCTCAAACCTTGGCTGACGCAGCAGCAGGCAAACACCCAGGTGAGAGCCTCTTTCTCATTTTTTAAAAATATATTTTATTGATTTTGTACAGAGAGGAAGGGAGAGAGATAGAGAGTTAGAAACATCGATGAGAGAGTCATCAATCAGCTGCCTCTTGCACACCCCCTACTGGGGATATGCCCGCAACCAAGGTACATGCCCTTGACCGGAATCGAACCCGGGACCCTTCAGTCCCCAAGCCGACGCTCTATCCATTGAGCCAAACCGATCTTGGCTCTCTTTCTCATTTATTTCACTTAATATAATGTCCTTTCTCATTTATTTCACTTAATATAATGTCCTTAGTATGTGGTCATAAATGGCAGGATTTCCTTCTCTCTCATGGCTAAATAATATTCGTGTGTGTGTGTGTGTGTGTGTGTGTGTGTGTGTGTGTGTACCTCACATCTTCTTTATCCATTTGTCCATCAATGGACACTTAAGTTGTGTCCATAGTTTGTCTATCGTAATATGCCTATGTTCTTGCTTACAGCAGGATGGGTGAAGAGGTGAAGATTCTCCTTCAGATCTAAGGGAGTCCTTATCCCTCTCCCATAACACCAAGATACTTCTTATACTCACCTCATCACCTTCACCCCATTCCGAAGAACTTCCATGTCCACAGAGAACCCACCATTGGCGTGAGCCACGAGATTGAGATCAGAGAATTCAGCCTGGAAAGGAAGAAGTCAGGGATTCATTCATATCACACAAAAAGGACCACTCAGTTTGCAATCTGGACAGTTGATCCCCAAGTCCACGTGTCCCAACTAACCTGTTCTACTTTAATGTCAATTTCTCCATGGAGCTTTTTCCCTTTGAAGTATTTCGCCCTGTAGAGGAAAAGCAGAGTGCATCCATCAATGCTCAAATCTCAGGAAGACAGAACCCAGGCCAGTCCTTTGACCCCTTGCAGTGTCTCTAGAGAAACCATAAAGTGATTGTTATGATGGTTGAAATATTTTGAAAACTCAAACAGTGCTTTAGGAACAATAAACCATAAAATATTCCTCATGGAGGTATATAAATGACAAAGAACACTGCAAATTTTTAAATAAGTCCTGAGACCCCAGAGAGCAGGTATTTCTTAAAGTACGGTCTGCTTGTCACACTACTACCATAAATATTTTTGGAAAGCTTAAAAAAATAAGGAGTGCTTTGTAAACCGCAACATACTTTGACATTGCATGGAGTTTATAATGGCAGAGAACCTTAGAGAGTACAAATAGATGAAGTGTGCCTGGGCATGGCTCGGTGGCTGTATCTGCTAACAGCCTGAAGCATCTCTGTTCTCTGGCCCGTGGTGAATGCACTCCTCCTTGGGAAAGGACCAGAGAACAGAGAGATGCTTTCACCATGGGCCAGAGAACAGAGAGATGCTTCAGGCTGTTCTGTTTCAGGCTGTTCTGTTTCAGCTGTTCTGCCGTGAAGGACAGAACAGCCATGGGTGGGCACAGGAGGAGCAGATTGAGGGGTGCAGGCTGGTGGTGGTTCCACAGAAGCTGGAGACTGCAACGGTGGAGTGGGGAAGAATTCCACTTAGGATGAGTGAAAACCACAGGAGGAAAGAGGGATAGAAGCAGCAGTAGGCGCATCATGAATTGCTATGTCACTGTCCCTATGCCCATTCCCAGCTGGGCTAAGTTTCCAGTGGCCTCTTCCCCCAGGCCCAGAATTTCCTACCTGATAAGCTTCTCCACAGACAGAAGCTTGTCTCCAATTTTTTAATAGAAGTGAGACAAGAGGAGAAGTCACTCCTGAGGTCATCGACATGCACACAATCAGGGTCTCTAACACATACACACAATGCAACAGGCCCTTGTGCCTTGAATGACATACCAAAAGACCTCAAACACAGTAACACAGTTATTTCTCTCTCTCTCTCTCTCTCTCTCTCTCTCTCTCTCTCTCTCTCTCTCTCTCTGTCTTTCTTTCTTTTTCCCTCTCTCTCTCTCTTTCTTTCTTTTTCTCTCTCTCTCTTTCTCTCTCCCTCTCTCTCCTCTCTCTCTCTCTCTCTCTCTCTCTCTCTCTCTCTCTCTCTCTCTCTCTCTCTCTCTCTCTCTCTCTCTCTCTCATACACACACACACACACACACACACACACCCTCCATTGCTGACAATGACTCCTCACAAGTGCTGGGAGAGAATCTTTTTTAGATATGTGCATTTTTTAAAAATAAAATGATGACAAGTACAAAGTATATCACTGTTTTTCAAACCTTTTTATTTTTCACCATTAAGTATAGTGGGTACTCTGCTCAGATCTTCTCTTCAGGGCCAATGCTCCCTGAATCTCAGTTGTTGACAGCTCATGGCTGTGTCCAACTGGGAACTGTCTTTGCTACAGGGAACTGCCTTAGCCAAGGTTATACCTCCTTCGGGCAGCGCATGGCTTATATTTGGTCTGAGTGAGTACAAAGGCCGCCTGTTTACCTAAATATAGGCTGACTCTGAAGGACCATTACCAGCCCCAGAGCTCCCCCTAGGACCAGCTTAGGCCTCTGAAGCAACCGCATCGCAGACCAACTTCTCTGTCTGCCCAACCCTGTCCTCCTTACAGGTGTTGATTCCAAAGGCATTCTGCAATGAGCTTCCTGCATGCAAATTTCTGCTTCCAAACCTGTTTCCAGAGAACCCAACCTAAAACAGTGGGCCAGAGATGTCAAACAACAAAGACTCTAATGCTATTCTGGAGCTGAGTCACCTAGCAGCTTGCAGGCAATGCGAAACCATCATTTATCAGGGGGAGAGCACAGATAGCCCCTGACAGGCTGTGTTGACTCCAAGTGCTCGGCAGCAGCTCCAGGTTGTGATGCAAGCAGTCCTGCCACTCAGGCCATACGATCCATCAGATCCTGTGACACTGGAGGTGTCAACAGTGGAAAAAGATACAGTGTAGAGCTTAAGAGAAGCTCGAGCGAGAGGCCCCTGGGGCTTTGGAGCAAGGCCATGCCATCTGCAGCATAGAATTACACGCCTTTTGAGAAACAAATCTTGGTGTAATATTGGCCCCTGATACACAGCTACTTGACCATGATGTACAAAATAACCGTGTATGCAGAAGTGTCCATTATAAACTAGATCTTGCCAGACCTGCCAAGTAATACAGTCAGACGGGTCCAGCAGCCAGGATTGAGCCCAAGCAAAAACAAGCAAGCTGCTTGAGCAGGTAAGCCAGATGTCCATGTCATCCACCTTGTTGCTACTGCCTCCCTCAGCTCAGTAAGGGGAGTCCTTTATTCAACCAGTGGATGAAGGAAGAGAAAGTCTGAGCTTGCTTCACAAATAGGTTGCCTTGGTATGTGGGTGGAAGACAAAAATGGACAGCAGCTGCACCATGGTCCCACTCAGAATGGTCTTGGAAACAGTGCCCCCAATGGGCAAAGCTGTGAGCTGTACCCTTGGCCATCTGCTTTTTGGGGAAAGAGAAGTGGCCACAGATTCGAATATATATTCACTGATGGCGAATGGCTTGGCTGATTTGCCAGAGGCTTTGAGAGAAATATATTGAGAGATTAGAACAAGGAGGTCTAGGACACAGAAATGTGGGTGGCCATATGGGAGTGGAGATGAGTGGAAAAAGGAGAAAAGATCTCTGTATTGTATGTTAACACCCACCAGACAGCATCTGCCACAGAAGTGGCACTAAGCAATCAGGTAGACAGAATGAGTCAGCCAGATGATGTCAGCCAGCCTCGTGAATCAGTCACCCCAGTGCTGGTACATGAGCACATGCACAAAGTGGCAAGAGGAACAGAGATAGAGGCTATATGTGAGGACCTTCAGAATTACTGCAGTATATTCAACCTGTCAGCAACAGAGACCAGTATTGAATCCCTGACATGGCAGCATCCCTCAAGAAGACCAATCAGCTACTTTGTGGTCTATTCCACCCCGAAAGAGTAATGAGGAATTTTGACTGGAATATTCTATGTATGGGTTTGCCTTTCCTGACTGCAGGACCCGAGACAGCATCACTGTTCAAGGGCTTACACAGTATTGGATCCCGCAAAACATTACATCAGCCATAAAAGGAGGTGCAAAAGTGGGTCTATGACCATGGACTCAACCGATGACCTATATACCACAGCACCCAGAAGCTGCTGGCCTCATAGAATTATGGAACAACTTCTTTCAGCCTCAGCTAAGATCCTAGCTTGGAGGGGATACTGTGCACAAACGGGGCACCATCCTCCAAAACCCAGTGTACACCCTAAATCAATGACCATTGTAGGTAAAATACATGGGTCTGGGAACTCAGAGGTGAAAGTAGGAGTGGCCCAGCTTACCATCAATCTCAGTGATCCACTTTTGGAATGTATGTCTCCTGTTTCCTCAGAGCTCTGCAAGGTCAGAGGTCCTGATTCTCTAAGGGGGGACACTACTACTAGGAAACACAGCAATAATCCCATTACATTCTAAGTTGTGAGTGCTACCTGGACACTTCAGGTTTTGCATGCCAACAGACATGAAGAGGAGTCACTATCTGGGCAGGGGTAAATGACCCTGATCATCAGAAGGGGCGCGGCTGGTGTTACAGTGGGGGCATGGAGGAACCCAGATGATCTGCTTGGGTATCTATTGGTATTCTTTGCTCAACTTTGATGGTAGAGGGACAAGTATAGCAGCCACAGCCTGAGGAGAGCATGGCGACCAAGGGCTCAGAGATCTCTCAAGGATGAGGGAATGGATCACGCACCAGGTAAGCCACCAAGACCAAGAGAGGTTCCATCTGAGGGTGAGGGGAATTTAGAATGTCTAGGAGAAGACAATGCATATCATTTGTTTATGCTGCACTTATCAACTGTGGCAGTGGAGGCTGCATTTCACCCCACCAACCATGCTCTTTCAGGTTTCTCCCAGAAAACAAGGTCAGTTACAATCCTGGAAATGCTGTTCTCAGATGGGGCGAACTTCCTCTAAGAAGCAAGTGAATCTGAGTAGTACAAAGGGTAGACTGTGTGCTCCGTCCAGATCCTCACCCCTCTGTCCTCAGACCTCCACATCTATCCCCCAGCTTCTGGGAACAGCTGTTGTTGAAGCCTCACAATGTTGTCCTGCCCTGGGAATTGCCCTCTGTAGCACGAATCTGCCTTCCCCAAGATTGTTCCTCCCCACAGGGGACAGCCTGTGGTCAATGATGGACTGATGCGGGAATTCAGAAGCATGTATATCCCAATTCCATTGGGGTAACTCTGGAGTGTCCTCCCAGCTCCAGAGCTCCCCAGTAGATAGTCTGAGGCCTCTGTCATGGCTGCAGCATAGCTCAGTCTTTCCCTCTGCCAATTCTTGCTTCCCCTACACCTCCCCCGTAACAGGTGTTGTTTCTCAGAGCTCTCCCCAAGAAATCTGCACGCAAATCTCAACCTCGAGATCTACTTCTAGGGAAGTCACATAAAAGGAGCCATGATAAGAAATATAGTTTATATAACCCATTATGTAAATATTTACATAATAACCCACCCTATGTAATACATATTATATAAGACACATATAATATGGTATACAGCAAACATAAAATGGGGTGTCTTATATAATATATAACATACAATATATGGCATATTACATATTATGTGTAGATGTATCTAGAATGTATAGTAGAATGTGTTTAAATATACATATACTAGAGGCCCAGTGCATGAAATCCCTGCACAGGTAGGGTCTCTAGGCCTGGCCAGTGATTAGGGCCTATCTGTGGGGCAATCGGAGGGGCAATGGAAGGGTTGTGTGCCCACTGGCACCCACCTTGGCTGGCCTGGGGCCTGCAGGCTGGGGGCAGCTCCTGCATTGAGTGTCTGCCCCCTCGTGGTTAGTACGCATCACAGCAACCAGTTGTTCCACTGTTCAGTCGATTTGCATATTAGGTTTTTATTATATAGGATAATTAGAATGAAAGTTTCAGTAAATAATTATCTTTACTCTGTGCAATGGAGTCTGAAATTTCCTATTCTATTTTATTTCATTTCATGAAGAAAAGGACACACCTATATGCATTATATACTATAAACCCATTATATAATAAATGTATTATATAGTATATGTCATATATAATATGTGGCATATATTATTGATTATATTTCTTATTGGAGTAACAGTTTTACTAAATAATAATTCCACTTACTATGTGCAATATACTCTTTTATTTTCTATTTTCATTTATCCTACTTCATGAAGCAAATGAAATGCTGGTCACAAGCCAATAAATAGGTGGCCCACAGTTTGGAAAACACTGGACAAAATTATCTCTAAAAATGGAAAATGAGTCTCAACTTTAAATCACGGAGGACTCAAGACCCAAAAAAGAATGAGAGTGGTGAAGTTTGGCGGGAAAGGTGTCAGACTGTACTTAGGTGTACCATAGAATTTGCACAATTCCTCCTTTATTCCAGGCTGAGGTGCCTAAAACATGCACGAATGTCTGCAGGTTGGTGATGCAGAGGTCTCTGTTCCTCACACTGAGCCTGGTGTATACAGGGTCTCTCCCTTTATTCATTCTGCTCCGCCTGTGGCAGATACCAAATAAATATTTGCTAGATTGGCTGGAAGAAAAGACCACAGCAGCTGCTGGGATAAAGGGGAGGTGGTTCTGGTATGCAGAAGGGGAAGAGAAGAATCTTTCACTGAATTCAGCATATTCTCAATAAATGTTTGCTGGAAAAATTAGAAGGAAAAAAGAGAAACACGAGTTGTGATTATGGAAAGGGGAAATGTCGTGTCAGTAGTCAGTAGGTAATTAATAAGTGCTTCATAGAATGAATAAAAAAGCAGCAAAGCACCTGTCTGGAGGGTCAGCGTGGAGAAGGGAAGTCTGAAGGAGGGTGGTTAGCAATATTCAGAAGGGGCCTCAAGAAAGTTTGCTGACGTCAATGGAGCAAATTTAGCCAGAAAGATGGCATCTGTGTGAGTGGGTGCTGGTGAGGGAATGATACCATGTGTTCAACAAACGCTTTATGGATTGTTGGAGAAGAGACTGGGAGGGCCTGCTGCAGGGATGGGAATGTGGTTGTTTGAACAGAATACAGTAAGAGATTAATAACTGACTTTTGGTTTCATTGGGGGAAGGAGCAGTTGAGAAGATGGTTACTAAGTGGGGGAGGGAACCTGGCCAGCAGGTGCACATTAAGAGCTTTCAGGATTGTGTAGTTCGGGGCAGGGTGAAGATTTTTGAAAAGGAAATTAGGCTACAAAAGGGGTGGGAGAAGGGGTATTGAATAAGGGTTCTTAGAGGTATACAATAGTGCTCATTAAAGAACTGTGGTGTTAAATGGAGGAAAAGAGAGATAATCCAGTTTATGTTTAGGATTAGAGGGAAGACCTGAAGAAGGGGTTATCCTAGTATCCTAGTAGTGCTTAATAAATGCCTCCCACACTCTGATACATGAAAATTATGCATTTAATATCTGCAGAGTGAATAAATGGCTCTGAATAGAAGGGCTGCTGGGTAAGGGTTCCTGGGTGTGTGGTTATCTAACTAGTAAAGAACTAGTACTCAATATATTTAGACTGAAGTAGGCCTTTTGGATAGGGGGGGTTAGCACTTGAGGCAGGGGCAGAATTTCCAGATTTGCAATGACCTTTATATAGTAGGCTCTCAATAAATGTTTAGTGGCTTAAATAGAAAGAAGGCCCTTTGAGGTATGATTTAAGAGTGAGAGAGGGAATCCTAAGGACATTGAAGGGAGTGGAAAGGGTGGTGTAACCCTTAAAAATCGGGCTCTAGACTTACCAAATGCAGGACCCTGGAGAGAGGCTTTATGATTGGTGCAGGTTATCCTAAGAGGAATGAAGGGGGATGTACTACCTACACACGACAGGCACATCCTCCCTATACACATACATGTTCACTGGTCCCGCTGGGAGAAAAGGACTCTGGGGAGGAGGTTGTGAGCATAGAGTATACAGAAGTGACTCCACACACGCTCTCATTGGAAGAAAGGGCCTAGGGGGGAAGGTGATTAGAATAGAGCACCTGGCAGACAGGGAATAAAGCACACCAAATCCATTCAGAGAAAAGGTATTTGGGGAGGGAGGGATAGGGATGGGCGTAAAATCACTGGATCACTGGAGAAAAATATTTTGGGGAAGGGAAGTGGGGCTGCAGAAACTTGACTTATGTAAGCTTGATCCTCCATCCACGGGGAGGAAAGACTTTAGTGGCGAAGGCACAGAATCCAGTGCACGGCAGGTGGTCCACAGATGCTCCAAGGAGTGACTAAAAAGATTAGGGCTCTGGCAAGAGGGGTTGAAATGGTGCCCACAGTGCCAGATATGTGATTACGGTATTAATTGGAGGCAAAGGCCTTTAGGGAGAGGGTCTAAGTTTGGATCATGCAGAAGGTGCTTCACACCTGCTGATGGAAGCCACTGGAACAAAGGCATTGGGAAAAGGGCTTGGGGTAAACAGCGGGCACTCGATAAATGCTTGCTGAATACACCGGAGGAAAGAGTCTTTAGGGAAGGCTCACACAGTAGGCAGTTGATAAGGGCTAGATGGGTCTACCAAAGGAAAGGTCTTTGGAGGAGTAGCTTGGGGATGGGGGATAAAAGAGGCACTCAGTAAATGCCTGCTAGATTCATTTCTACATTCAATTCTAATCACCTGTAGGAAAAGGATTACACAGAAGGCTCAAAAACGGGCATGAAACTCATTTGAAGAAAATGATACGTTTGAGAAAGGGGCTTGGGGATGGGGCATACCTCTAGCACTTAATTAATGGTTTCTAGATTCTTTGGAGAAATAGCCCTTGGAGGGGGCGGGGGGGCTGAGGCTGGGGCACACAGAGGGCATTCAGTAAAGGCTCACAAGATCCATTAAAGGCAACACCGTTGGTGAGAAGCTGGGGTGGGATACACAGCAGGCACTCAATCAATGTTCACTGAATAGTGGAGGCGGTCTTTGAGGAGAGGGCTGGGGTGGGCATATAACTCACTCTGGATACATACTCACAAGATCTATTAGGGAAAAGGCCTTAGGGCAAGGGTCAAGGACACAAGATACATGTCAAGCTCTCAATGAATTTTCACAGAATTCATGGGAGCCAACGGCCTTGGGGAAGGGCTTCCGTTGAGGTACACTGCAGGTACTTGATAAATGCTCAGAAGATTCATTAAAGGACAAGGCAGTTGGTGGAGGGTTGTGGGCAGGGGGTGGGGGGGAGAAAGCAAGGGCACATTAGGTTCTCAAATGTTCACAGGATACGTGGAAACCAAGGCTTCTGGGAAGGAGGTACACAACAGGTGCCTGATGACTGCTCCCTGTCTAGATGGAGGGGGCCCTGGTGGTGATGGTTGGGCGGGGGTGGGGAGGGGAGGGGGGGTGACGGGGAGTAAGGGCGGGGCACAGGGAAGCACCCAGCATAATAATTTAAGCAAAAAGGGTTTGAGCGAGTGGGTCAAGTGCTGGGCACGCAAGTGGCGCTCAATCATTGCTCGCCAAGGAACCATCTGGGGACCCAGGCCCGCGGGGAGACGTCCGCGGCAGTGGCTTACCAGTCGGTGTGGGGCTCGTCGATGACCAGCAGCACCCTGGCGGCGGCGCCCCCACGACCTGCGCCCCCAGAGCCGCCGCCCACCTGCTCGCTGAAGGTGGCGGCGGCCGCCGCAGTGGTCTGCTTGACTGCGTTGGACAGCGACGAGAAGAAGCCCCCGCCTCCTGAGGACCCAGGGCTCGGGGCGGCCGGGGAGGCCACGGGGGCGGCCGAGGAGGCCCTCTCGGTAGAGGCAGTCGCGGGGCCGGGCGTGGCCGCAGGGCTGGGGGCAGCAGGTGGCGGCGGGGGCGGCTGCGGGCGCTGCAGGTCTGTCATGTACCCATTTGGCAGATTGGCCATGAAGTTGCTGTCGGACAGGCGGCGCCGCAGGTAGTTCATGGCTGCGGCGCGGGGCAGGGGGTCCTAGGAGCCCTCTGATCGGGAGCCGCGGGGGAGGACCGCGCGGGGCCCGGGAGCACAGCTGCGCTCTCACGCACGACGCGACTCTGCCGCCGCCCGCTGCAGACTGAGGCAGCGCTGAGTCGCCACCGCCGCAGCGCGGATGGTCGCGCCCGCGCCTCCCTATCTCGCGCCCCGCGTGGTGCAGTCCGGCTAGGCCGGCGGTAGCACGGACGCGACCAAGGCTGCGGGGCAGGGGGGTTTGGGGAGGAATGATGAGTGACGTCAGCGCGCCTTCCGTGCTGGGGCGGCGGTGGCGCACGCCAGCAGGCGGGGGCGAAGGCGCTGTCCGCGGTGCTGAAGGGGGCAGTGCGCACGCGCCGCGCCGCATCCTGTTCCCTTCCCCCCCAATCCGATTGGGGATGCGCAATTTGGGAAGTGGGGGTGGGGTGGGTGCTTGTTGGGAGGGTCGGAGTCGGTGGTCAGGCAAACCCCCCACCCCACTTCGTTCTGGTCTTCACACCCAATCGCGCCCACACGAAGGACCCTCCGCAGAAACTTGGGTTTCCAGTGTGGATAGTCACCACAGAAGGCATGTGGGGGTGGCAATGGAGGCACACCCCGAGGCACAAAAGTAGAGAAATAACCCCCTCACGACGAGGGGTGTGAGTAGCTTGCGGGGAGATCAGTTTCCGGGGTACACACAGGCTCAGCTGGGCAGAAAGGTGTGAGGGAGGCCTAGATAGCATTAGACAGGTGGAGGAGGACTTTTGAGTGGGGTACACACCTGAGGGGAGGCTGGAGGCACACAGGGAATGACACACATATGGAAATACATGTAGACACACACAAAAGTAAGGAAACACACGAAGGCATAGAGAGAGAAAGAACACATACCAATCTAGGTGTTTATACACACACACAAGCCCAGGATAACACACATGGGCATACATGTACACGTACACACTTACATATGCACACAGGCAGCACACCAACACACAGAGGATAAGGGAAACTCACACAAGTATGCACACCCAGACAAAACACATACCCACAGACAACGATGGACAAACTAGATCAGCCACACACATATTTCCTAAACTCTAGCCCTGATATGTGTCCATCTATTCCCATCTACACACACACACACACACACACACACACACACACACACACACACACACACACTGGGTCTGTACACCCCCAATCATTTGCCATGGGAACAACCCAAACCCACAATACCCACCTGGCATAATTAGTACTCTTTGCACCACAGAGGCAGACCCAAACTAGGGTGGGGACACAGTAGGTGCCAAATGTTTGTCACGTGAGCAAATGACCTTTACTAGTATATTCTGGACAGAGGTGGGTTGTGGAAGCCAGTCTGTCAGCTCCTATTAAGGTCCTGATTACAATGAAGGTACAAATTCATTTAAAAAGAATAATTTGTTGACTGTACCCCATGCTTAACTGAGCTGTTTACATGTAATTGTCTTATCCAATCCTCACAACAGTCCTATGGGGTAGCTATTAATCATTTCCATTTTACACACGAAGGGACTCAATTCCAATTCATTCCTAAAGGGTCATGTAATCCATACATGTTTTTCTCTTTTTAACAATGTGCCAGAAAGAGGTCCCAGTGTGTCTTCTACAAATTGATCAGGGGGGATCGTGGCAGAAAATGGGGTTGGAGAGGTAAGCAGGGACTGGATGGGCCATAGTGAGTGATGATGGTGGACCAAGTGAGGTAGGTAGGTAGAAGATATGGCAAGAAACAGACAGATATGGAGTCTCCTCTACCTGAAGGATTTTCCAGTGAATCATCTACCTATCCATGTGTCCATTCTTCTTTTATCACTTCATTGGCTTGTTTAAACAACATAGTGATGGTGTGGAATCTGGAATCAGAGTGTCTGTCTGCCTTCAAACTACAAATGATCTTGACTCACCTCTAAGGGTGGGATGGGGAAGACGCAACCTCCACTCTTGCATGTGCTATGACTTCTTCCAGGAAGTGTGTCCCCTGCCCCTTCAAAGATCATCTTTGATCAAGGTCTTCAGGAAGTCCCCTCCCCCACGACTCAGATCCCATCTCCTCTTCCAATAGGCTCCCACAGTCCTCAAGTCAAATATTTCCAAGCCGTCCTCTACTTCCTCCTCCATCCCAGCCAGCTTCGGTCTCACCTCCAGGCCTTTGCTGAGGCCATACCTTACCCCTCTCCCATGGGTGCCTTCTCTGCCATTTCAGATCCTCTTTCTCCACTTTGGGGAACTACCCAAGAATCAGGTATTTCCCAATATTTCGATGTATGTGATCCCATTTTTTTTGCTCAATAACTGGAACAAACAAGTTGTGCTGGACATACGGTGCCCTCTCTGGGGGAAAGGAGCAGCTGCAGGTCAACAGACCTGGCTTCTTGGGAATCTGTCACCAGACTGCCTCTTTCCAGGGGCCCCATTTCCAAGTTCTTAGTATTTATGAACCCCAACATCATTCCCTTTCTCCAGGTGGTTCAATTTCCAGAAATTAATTTTTAATAGATTGTTTTACAGAAGAATGGAGATTCCCCCCAGGAGTATCTCAACTCCTTGAGGCAGAGGTAAGGCTCTTCTGCACTGTCTCCATCTTCTCCAGCAGAATTTAAAAGAAGCGGCTCCAAGAATGCTTTTGTTGCCGAAACCGGTTTGGCTCAATGGATAGAGCGTCGGTCTGCGGACTGAAAGGTCCCAGGTTCGATTCCGGTCAAGGGCATGTACATTGGTTGTGGGCACATCCCTGGTGGGGGGTGTGCAGGAGGCAGCTGGTCGATGTTTCTCTCTTGTCGACGTTTCTAGCTCTCTATCCCTCTCTTCCTCTCTGTAAAAAAACCAAAAAATTTATATTAAAAAAAAAAGAATGCTTTTGTTGTTGTGTGTACCTACGTTTATAACTCACACACACATATCCATGTTGCCCTAATGTGCATGCGTGCATACACACACTTCTATAACTTACATTGTTATGGTGCACACACGGTTGTAACTGCACATTCACTGCACATCCACTCGACACATCCTTCATTTTTGGGCAGGCCCATAGGTCTGCATATCACACATACACAAGGATATGTGCCTCACACTACACACACACACACACACACACACACACACACACACACACACACACACCAAGTTACACTTTCTCTCATACATCTCTCATACTCTGTACTAGCAACCAGAACCCCTCATTTTGGCTTATTTCTCCCAAGATGATTATTTGTCAACTTTGTCTTCATCCCAACCCATTAACTGGTCCATTTTACATAAGAGGAAATCAACCTAGAGAACTGAGTATTCTGACATACTCGGGGTGTCGCAAATCTTCCATCTGAGGCCCCCTTCACAGAGGCGCCCCTCCATTCACAGCACTAAATCCTAAACTCTGCTCCTGACATGGCGCTTCAGAAATGTTCAGCCTACTACCTTTTGTGTCTATTTCCTCCTTGATAAATGGGGATAATAATAGTGACACTCATAGTTTCATTGTAGATTAAGTGAATTCATGCTATGGAGGCTTAAAATACTATCAGGCACAGAGAAAGTACTCTCTACGTATTAGCTATTACCATAATTATGATGATTCTTATGCTTTGTCTCATTGCAAGGGCCCCAGCATTCATAAGTGATAAGATTAATGAGCAATTGCTAAGGGTATTAATGTCTGGGTTTGTTCCCTTCGCTGTGGAGACAGGTACCACTCCAACTCCTCTTCTTTCCTCTACCCAAAGGTATCCAGGACTATTGTTAGGATACTGTACAGTAGGTGTTGAGAAGTGTTGAATAAATGTTCAAAGGAAAGGGTCACCTACTCTGAGTCTGTTCTCTTGTTCAGATGTCCTCTCCTACTAGCCCTCCTCCACCCCAGATTCCCAGACTTAATTCTAGTATACAGTAGACATTAATAGGTGTTGAAGGAATGAACAAATGCTAACAGGAATATGTGTCTGCGTTTGGGCTCCTTCGGGCAGATGCTGACTCTAGCATCTCTCCTTCCCCTCTCCCCTCCCGCTTCAGCTTAGATACCTCATAGGCATTTCCTCCCTCCTCCTCCAGAGCTATTTGTTGCCCTTAATTGTAGCCTTGGAGCTGGGCTATTGGGAGTGGGTGGGTGCAGGTGCTGGTGCAGTGGGGTGCCACCCCAGTCATGTCTCTGCTGCCTGATGCTGTTTACTTGGAATTGATGTGGAATCCGCCAGCCCAGAGGCTCTGGTAGGTGGGAACCTAGGGAGCTGTAGGAGGCGGGGAGATGGATAATAGGCACACCAGCCAATCGGAAAGTGTCTGGCAGGGTGAGCAGTCAAACAGGAAATCCATATCATGGAGCTCTGCAGAAGGCAATGCTGGGTGACTCCAGACACTGGGGAGTAGGTGTGGGGGGAAGACACTGGGGGCTTCAGCAGCAGTGAAGGGATGGATATTTGCCTTCATTCCTGACCAACTGGCCACAGTGGAAAATACAGTTTTCCACAACAGGCCACTGTGACATGCTGTGCCCTTTTGCCTAGAAAATGCTATTGCCCCATTCTTGAGGAAGAGGCTAATTTATTGAGGTCTGGGAAGTCAGAGTGCCAGAATGGAAGAGAGGTATTAGAGCTTCTCATCTTCAGGGTCATTGCAGGCAGGCACGTGTAGACATGGCTTCTCTTCCTCCACCACCAACCTCTGCCCCTGTAGCGGCTCGCACTTTGCCAATGGTGTCCCCCAGAAGGACACGTTCTTCTCACCTTGACCTTCCACGATGGTAATGGTGGGCCTGAAGCATTAGGGGGAATGGAGGAAGACACTCAGAAAATCCAAGAATTCATTCAACAAACTCTTATTGAGTGCATACTATGTGCCCAACACTATTTTTAACTGTGAGATATTGGGCAATTTCTTTATCTTCCCTGTGCCTCACTTTCTCTCATCTGAAAAATGGGAATAATGGAAACAACAATCCTCCTATATAATAAAGAGGTAATATGCAAATGGACCCTCACAAGATGGCCACCCCCACATTGTCACAAGATGGCTATCCCCATGTAGTCACAGATGGTTGCCCCCATGTTGTAACAAGATGGCCAGCAGGGAAGGGCAGTTGGAGGTGATCAGGCCTGCAGGGGAGCAGTTAGGTGTCAATCAGGCCAGCAGGGGAGCAGTTTGGGAGTGATCAAAGTGGCAGACAGAAGCAGTTAGGGGCAATCAGGCAGGCAGGCAGGTGAACAGTTAGGAGCCAGCAGTCCTGGGTTGTGAGAGGGATGTCTGACTGTCAGTTTAGGCCCAATCCCGCAAGGATCTCAGATTGGAGAGGGTGCAGACTGGGCTGAGGGACACCCCCTCCCCAGTGTATGAATTTCATGCACCGGGCCTCTAGTAATAATAATAATAATAACACCCACCTCACTGGATTGAGTGTGGATAAATAAGTTACAGAGTGGTATCTGGTACACAGTAAGTGCTTATAAATACCAGTAATTGTTACTAGTTGGCATTAGCTACCTTCTCTTACATCCAAATCTCTTTATATTTCTCTCCCTACTGCCCACTGGAAAAACAAATGCTTTGCTCTAGCATTCAGGGCCTTATTGTTGTGCCCAAATCTCTGCCCCAAGGCAATGTCTGTCTCTCTTCCTCTTTATCCAGACTCAGTGCCGTGTCCAGAATGGTCTTTGCCTGGATTATTTTTCTCACTAGGCAAGCCCTCCATTCACTCATATCCTGATTTTCTCAATCATCCCTTTCTCCATTCATTCCCTCACTCTGTCAAGTCCTTCATGCTTCCACTTAACACTGATGCATCTTTAGGACCCACTCTACCCCCACAGCTGGAGACCACTTTCCAGATTGTAGGCCTTCCATGAGATAGGAACAAGCCACTTCATCTGGTAGTTTGATGCACGCTATCTTATATAACAAAAGGGTGAAATGCAAATTGACTGACCACCAGGGGGCAGAAGCTCTACAGTGGAGCTGCCCCCTGGTGGTCAGTGCTCAGTAGAAGCTGGGCTGATGGCTAGAGGGGCACAGTGGCAATGGCAGGAGCCTCTCCCAACCCCTGTGGCAGTCAGACATCCCCTAAGGACTCTTCGACTGAGAAAGGGCACAGGCCGGGCTGAGGCCCCTTACCCCTGCCCCCCGCCAGTGCATGAATGTCATGCACCAGGCCTCTAGTGTGGAAATAAGGAGGGATGCATGGGTATTTTAACTCGCTCCCAAACCTGGCCACTGGAAAACACTTTGAGTAACTGATCACCTGTGTTCAGGAATCTGCGTACACAGTCTTGACCCCTTTCTGTCAGGGGGGGCCTGATCAGTTTCCTAGACCCAGGTTGAGGTGGCAGACCCTTTCCCACATACCAAGCATTCCTCATATGCCTTCTAGCAGGGCTCTGTCTACCTAGATCTCTTGGGAGACCCATGGGATCTGGGGTGTGTGTGTGTGTGTGTGTGTGTGTGTGTGTGTGTGTGTGTCTACAACCATTGCCGAAAAGGCCTTGTAGTATCTGGGGGCAGTGAGACATTGAGTGAGACACTGAGCCATCCACGGAGGCATGGGACTGAAGGAGTAAGTGAATGGAGGCATGAGTGACTGAACAAGCCCCTCAAAGCAGAGCAAATCGACACATGGAAGACTGAGGGAATGGCGGAGTGGTTGAGTGACTGAATGTGTGACTTATGGGCACAAAGGCTGCTAACTCTCCCATCGGTATCTCCTTCTTCAGCTTCTTCTTTAGTATCCCCCACTTCCTGAAGCTGGGAAATGGCACTGGGCAAGGCAGGCACCTTAGGCTCAGTGGCAGAAGCCTGGCTGGGGATAGCTGATATACATAGTGGTATCATTGCCCCTTCTTAGGCATTCTCTGCCTCCTCGCTACTCACGCGAAGTTGGGAAGATGGGGTGTGCAGAGGCGCTTGCGGCTGCGGGTGGGGTTGGGTCCACACGGGGGCGTGCACAGCCCCCAGGTACTCCACTCTGACCAAGAGCCTTCAACTGCAATGAGAAGAGGGAGTTCCTGCGTCAGAACTAGTGGTTTCCGGGGGCTAGTGAGAGAGGCTGCAGGGACATGGGGTCCATGGCAGAGAGTCAGAAACCCCCATCGCTTCCTGGGCTGCCCACCCTCACAGCACAGGCTGAGGGGCACTCACACAAGCAGCGCTGGATGTCGTAGCAGTACCGGATATCCTGATAATGCCCGGGACAGCGAAGTCCAGTTAACTTGCGGCCGAGGCAGTCCCTGTCGCGTGACTGCGAGCCTTGGATCTCCTGACATCTGATTTGTGATATCTTCGGGCGTATGCACTTGCTCCATTCCCCCCACGGCCCCCACGCTCCATTCACTGCAGAGACATGGGTAGCAGGGGCTCGCACCAAAGAAGGGAGCCAGCAAGGAGGCTGAAAGGAAGGGATGTGTGCTGGGGTGGGGAGGGGGAGGCAGAGTAGCGGCGATCAGTCGTGGGAATGGGTGATCAGAGGTGCAACTAAGGCATCAGCGCAGGGAGGGGAGGCATTTAAGGCAAGACCAAGGCATTAGCAGCGGGAACAGGGCAGCAGAGAAGGGTGGGGGGCTTAGGCGTGGAAATGGTGCATCTTGAGGTGCTGACCAGGGCATTCCCTGGCCGTGTTGCAGATGTGGGTCCGCGTGGCGTCACCGGCACAGAAGGGGCCCCCGTGCTTGGGCACAGGGTGATCACATGCCCGCCGTTCCAAGGTCTGGCCCAGGCCACAGGTCACCGGGCAGGGAGTCACTGGGCCCCATGGCCCCCAGCCTCCAGCCACTGTGGGGGGGGGATAGGAGTGAGGAAAGGCCACTTCAATCTCCCTGCTCCAGCCCTCAGACCCTGAGGTAGGCCGTCCCCAAACAAAGAGGTACATGGTTACACGGTCTCAGATTTATCCCAGGACAGGACAGGGCATCTGTGTCTGAGCAGAGCATCAGAGGCCTTCTCCCTACGTACCTGGGCAGGGCGGCAGGCCGCTGCAGGCCCGCTGCTCGTATGCTGTCCCTGGGCACGGATTCCCAGGAGGCCTTGCGGAGGGCTCAGGTGCGGTACACGTGCGGCTCCGTCTTTCCACAGGGGCATTGGGGCCGCCATGGCAGGAGCCTGAGCAGGGGCCCCAGGGCCCCCAAGCAGCCCAGGCCCCATGTGCTGTGGGGAGGGGGAGAGAGAGGCCGAGTGAGGTCGTGCATGCTGAAGTCCTCCGACAGCGGCAGCTCCCTCCATCGCCCCCAGAGCCACCTGGGGGGCTGCCTCTGTGGCCTGTGGTTGCCTCACTCACTGGGGCAGACCTGCTTCGTGTCACAGGCCTCCGACTCCTGCGCCTCTCCCGGGCATAAGCCCCCACACTTGGGGGCGGGCTCATCACATTTCCGATGGCGGGTGCGGGTCCCTTTGGCGCAGGTAACAGAGCACGGTGTCCAGGGCCCCCAGTTGGACCAGCCGCCCATCTCTGTGGGAGAGTAGGGAGGGGGACAGGATGTAGGTGGGGGTGTCATTCAGGTGCTCGCTTCCTCTTGGAGCCCACATCAGCTAGTCCTGTCCCCATGTTCTCTGTCTCTCTTGGTCCACCATCACCGCCCATCTGGTCTACTGCAGTCATCTGCACCCGGAAACCTGCTTCACCCCTCCCCACAGCGTGTCTGCCTCCTGACAGCAGGGAGGGGGGGCGGGTCACAACCCAAGTCAGATCACATCCCTCTGCTGCCCATAACCCATGTCAATCAAAATAAAAGCCGACATTCTCACCATGGTCCACAGGACCAGGCTCCCGCTGACCTTACCCCCCATCACTCTCCTCTGCCTCCTCCTATAGCCTCACAAACAGCAGGCGCCATCCCGCCCCCGGGGCCTCTGTCCCCACTGTTCCCAGGGCCGCCTTGCTGATCCTCCTCACCAGGACAGCACAGCTGGTCCTCGCAGGCCTGCAGCTGCCACTCCAGGGTCCCAGGCTGCACCTTCTCGGGGCACTGGCCCCCCCAGCCTACGCAGCGCCGGTGCCGCAGCTGGGAGCCCTCAGTGCAGGTCACTGAGCAGGGGCTCCAGCTGGACCAGGGTGACCACTGCGGGGACCTGCGGAGAGAACCACAGATGCCCCGTCTGTGAGCTGGCGAAGACAGTGTACGGGACAGGCGAGTGCGGGTGGGCAGAGGCGGGGTGTGGGAGAAATATGTGTGAAACAAGGAGAGTACCTACCTCAAGGATACTGGGGGACCAGATGGGAAGGATGGGCATACAGTGTTTAATAAACATCATTACCTTCACGATCAGAGACCCTTGGCAGCCCCCCAAGGACAGTGCCAGGAATGCAGTAAGCAAATATTAGGACGAGGGGCCCAGAACTGCTGTCAGAAACCCACTGGGCAACCACTGTGCAAACAGGAAGCACTCAATAAATAGGAGCCATCACCCCAACGAGCTCAGAGAACCCGTCAGAATTACCCCAGCTCTATCCTTAGACACCTGCGCAGCATAATGTGAAAGAGATGAGAGATGCTGACATGACTAGAGAACCAGAGCTGCCTTCAAAAAATCCCCAAGCGACACATCTTGTTGTTGTTGTTTGTTAATCCTCACCCGAGGCTATTTTTCCAATGATTTTGAGAGAGTGGAAGAGAGAGGGAAAGACAGAGAGAAACGCATCAATTGGTTGCCTCCTGTGCAAGCCCCAACCCAGGCCCAGGCCAGGGAGGAGCCTGCAACCGAGGTATGTGCCCAAGGTCCTCATCTTCACAGTGTGTCTGGGACCTACAGTAAGCAGTTAGAAAATATGCCTGGCATACAGTAAACGCTTAATACATGAAAGCTGGCATCATGATTAGGAGACCAGAGCTACCCTCGGAAATCCTCCAGCTGCCCCTGGCCTCCGCAATGCATTTGTTATGCCAGAAGTGCTCAATGAATGTGAAGTTGTCACCATAGTTAGGGCCTGGAACTGCCCTCAGAATCCCCCAAACTCTCCCGCCTCCATAACACGTCTGTATGCAGTAAGCATTCAATATATGCTGTCATCACAATTAGGGGACTTGACTTGAGCCACCTTCAGAAACACCTGGGCTGCAGCCCACCCCCCATGCTTCCGGTATGCAGGAAATGCTCAATACATGCAAGCCATAGCATGGGTTCTCCACCGGGGGTGCTTCTGCAGCCCAGGGGACATTCAGCAATGTCTGCTGTGGGGAGTTGCTACTGGCACCTGATTAGAGGCCGGAGTTGCTACAAAACACCTTGCAATGCACAGATCTGTCCCCCCCACCCCCACCCCGCCCCTGCCCCGCCCCAACCAATAATTTTCTGGTCTCAAAACCATAGAACCGAAGCTGAGAAACCCAGAGCTATAGTCATGACAAGGGCCTCGGAATCACCTTTGGGAACCCCAGGGAAAGAAGGAGTCCAGGTCGTGGTGGCCCTGCACAGTCCTTCCTGCCTCCCTCAAGCCCAGGGTCCCCCTCACCTGCACGGCTGACAGAGCTTACTGTCAGGCTCCTGGAAGGCATAGGCAGCGTTGAGACAGCAGTCTTGCACACCCACACCTCCACCCAGGAGGTTCTTGCACTTGCCTGAGGACTCCTCATACTCGGTGAAGCAGAAGACAGCCTGTGAGCCTGTACCAGGGTGTGGGGAGGAGGGATGGTCAGGGTGTTACTGATGGGCCCGGGCACCCTGGGCCAGCTAAGCTCACCCACTCACCTGTAGCCCGCAGGGTGAGCAGCAGCAGCAGTGGCGGCAGCAGCAGCCAGGAGGCCTGCGCTGGGGTGGGCATGGTGCGCACTGAGCTCCTGCGGCCCCGCCTGGCTTTATGTGTGCTTGGAGTTGGTGGGAAAAGAGGAACCAGGGGCAGGGGAACTGGGAGGGCAAAGGGCAGCAGTTGTGGGGGGAGACTTTTTAGCTCCCACCTCTTCCTTGTCACCTGTCTACGAGCCACCTTCCTCTACTCACCTCTCCTAACTTCTGGTCTCAATCTCAGTCCTGTTTTGTTTATCACTGTATCCCCACACCCCTTGCCCCACCTACCAACCCCTCAGCACTCAATGAATGCTCTTTGAACAAACTCTAGTAAAGGGAAATGGAGCACTGGACTTTGGAGCAAGACCAACTTCCTAGTTGTGTAACCTTGGGCAAGTCACTGGAACCTCTGTGGTGAGGTTTCTTTCTCTTTCTTCTTTCTTCTTTTTCTTTTCTTTCTTCCTTGCTTTTTCTTTTAAAAATATATTTTATTGATTTTTATAGAGAAGTAGGGAGAAGGACAGAGAGCTAGAAACATCAATCAGCTGCCTCCTGCACACCCTCTACTGGGGATGTGCCCGCAACCAAGGTACATGACCTTGACCGGAATTGAACCTGGGACCGTTCAGTCCACTGGCTGATGCTCTTTCCACTGAGCCAAACCAGTTAGGGCATCTTTTTTTTTTAAAAAAAAATCTTTTCATTTCCAAGAGGAAGGGAGAGGGAGAAACATCAATGATGAGAGTATTGTTGAACGGCTGCCTCCTGCATGCTCCCTACTGGGGATCAAGCCTGCAACCCTGCCATGTGCCCTTGACTGGAATAGAACTGTGACCTTCTGGTTCGATGCTCAACCACTGCTCCACTCCGGCTGGGCTGAGTCCTGTAAAATGCATACCTTCTACCATGACAGGATCAATCTCATGGCGCCGGTGAACAGGGTGGTGAAATGACTGGCATGCTCAGGTTATCCCTCTTCACAGGGTGCGGTGGGCATTGAGATCATTGCTTCATTCTGCACCCTGGCTTAACCCACCCTCCTCTTTCCTGAAGGAGAGGTCCCTTGTGGTCAGCATAGGGAAGGGAGTTCAGCACAAGGGAAGTGAGAAGGGGAAGTGACAGAGTGCAGTGAGGATTCCGGAGTGAATTGGGGATACCCAGTCCCAGGGGCCCAGCTGGGAACACCTTCAGGGCCTGCAGAAGGGGTGGTCAGAAGGGAATTGGCCTGGTCACATCCCAGCAAAGCAACTTGGGTAGGTGACACCCCCCCCTCCATGAGCCTACATCATAGGGTTTGTTGCGAAGATTGGATGCTAAGGTTTTTTTCAAGTTCTTAACACAATGCCTGGCATACAGCAGATGACCTGCTCGTTAAATACATTTATCCAACATTTACTGGACACAACATTTATTGGGTGTCAGATGCTGTTCTCGGCATTGGATGTCGCAGAGAACGACAGCCCCAAATCCTGGACTTCAAGGGGCTTACACTCTCAAACAGAATCATCCAGAAGGTTGATGAAATCATGGATTGCTAGGCTGCACCCATTTCTGATTCTGTAGGTCTGGAGTCAAGAAAGTGCATTAAGCCAAAACCGGTTTGGCTCAATGGATAGAGCGTTGGCGTGGGGACTGAGGGGTCCCGGGTTCGATTCTTGTCAAGGGCATGTACCTTGGTTGTGGGCATATCCCCAGTGGGGGGTGTGCAAGAGGCAGCTGATCGATGACTCTCTCTCTCATCGATGTTTCTGACTCTATATCTCTCTCCCTTCCTCTCCGTACAAAATCAATAATATATATATATATATTGCATTAAAATTTTAAAAAAATATTCTCATCCGAGGCTATCTTTCCATTGATTTTTAGAGAGAGTGGAAGAGAGAGGGAAAGAGAGAAATATCGATGTGAGAGAAAAATATGGATCGGTTGCCTCCTGCACATGCCCTGACCAGGGCCTGGGCCAGGGAGGAGCCTGCAACTGAAGTCCATGCCCTTGACTGGAACCAAACCCAGGACCCTTCAGTCCACAGGCCGACGCTCTATCCACTGAGCCACACCAGTGAGGGCAAAAAACCAAGAATCTTTTAAAGTGACAGTAAGGTGTCTCAGAAAGGTAGCAAGGCCATGTCTCCTGCATTCAGAGGGAGAAATGCCATCCCACAACTTAAAACAAAGTCAAAGAAATGCATTTGGTCAGGGTTAACGTTAAAACAGAACTTTCTCAAGAACGTTAATCTTGTTTTATGGGCGATAAGGTGTGTTGACACTGAGATGCACTCTGTTCCTTGGAACGTAAGCCTGCCTCAGAGTGTGCTTTGAACAAAGAGGGCTTGTTAGTATTCCAACACTTCAGACAGCAGCGCTGTTGAAACAAATTCGAGAAACCTGTACTGCTGCTTTATCTAAGCAGCCGTTGCCCTGGTAATAATGTTATAACTGATATTCCCTTGGTGTCTAAGCTGTATAAACACTCATAGGATTCCCCGCGGAGGGGATTATCAGTGCTTTCATCTCTTCCTGTATGTTTGGGCAATGAAATGACTGCAGATTTCTTATTTAAACAAAGAGCGAGAAAAAGTCTTGTCTCTGGTAATTACTGCACTGCTGCCTTGTATGATGTATGTATCGTATTCTGGTTTGTTTTTTTGTTTGTTTGTTTGTTTTTTTGCCCTCTCTTGGTGGATACCAGCTTCACAAAGGTAGGGATTTTTAAAAATATATATATTTTATTGATTTTTTACAGAGAGAAAGAGAGAGGGATAGAGTGAGAAACATCGATGAGAGAGTCATCAATCAGCTGCCTCTTGCACACCCCCTACTGGGGTTGTGCCCACAACCAAGGTACATGCCCTTGACTGGAATCCAACCTGGGACCTTTCAGTCTGCAGGCCGACGCTCTATCCACTGAGCCAAACCGGCTTCGGCAAGGTAGGGATTTTTATTATTTAATCCACACCCAAGGAAATTTTTCCATTGATTTTTAGAGAGTGGGAGAGAGAGGGAAAGCCAGAAACATCGATGTGAGAGATACACATCGACTGGTTACCTCTTGCATGGGAGGAGCCTGCAACTAAGGTACGTGCCCTTGACCAGAATCGAACCCCGGACCCTTCAGCCTGCAGGCCGCTGACTGCTCTATCTACAGAGCCAACCGGCTAAGGCAAGGGTAGGGATTTTTGTCTCCCATGCTAACTGCTGTGTCTGCAGGGCTCAATAAACATTTTTGCTGAATGCAGGAATAAACAAAACTTAAGAGATTCTGCGAAGTGCTAAGAGGAAGAGCCTGGGTTAGAGAGAAAAATGTGGACATTGGGGGGGGGGGGATAAACACTGTCCCCAGGACCCGGACTGGACCGGAGTTCCTGAGAAGAGGGAAGGGAACCCAGGCCACGTCCCGGGGGAAGTCCGGCATTTCACGTTTTGGAGAACTGAGGGGAAATGGAGCCTGGGGCTGAGGAGGAGGGGCTTTTGGAGGACAAGCAAGAGAGGACTTTCCCACAGCCTGGCATGTTCGGTCCGTGTTCTCTCATGCAGCCTGTCATTTTCCCTTACTATATTTAGACACAGTCACACACACAGCCCTGGATTTATGGCCTCTCCTGCAGTCTCTTAGGAACAGGCTCACATCCACACTGGATCACACGGCTTCTCAGACATTCTCTCAGCCACTCATGCAAGGAGTAATTTCCTGTCACTGACTCCCAGTTTTGATTGTCTCCTACTAAGAATTCATACACACGATCATGTCTTTTTGTTGGTAAGCCTCACTGGAGAGTGTTTTTTCCATTGGTGTTTTTAAAATATATATTTAATGATAGCAGAAAGGAAGGGAGAGGGAGAGAGATAGAAATACCAATGATGAGAGAGAATCATTGATCCACTGCCTCCTGCACGCCCTATACTGCGGATTGAGCCCGCAACTTGGGCATGTGCTCTGACTGGGAACGGAACCATGACCTCCTGGTTCATAGGTCGATGCTCAACCACTGAGCCACACCAGCCGGGCTACAGTGATTTTTAGAGAGAGTTGGGGGGGGGGGGGAGAAGAGGGAGAAATGTCAATATGAGAGAGACACATTGATTGTTTGCTTTCCGCACGCAACCTGACTGGGCAAAGGATCGAACCTGCAACCCAGGTATGTGCCCTTTACTGGGAATCGAACCTGGGACCTTTCAGTGTATGGGTTGATGGTCTAACCACTGAGCAACCGGTCAGGACTATGATCATGCTTTATAGCCTGTCTCATTCAGACAATATGACCAATATTTACTCGCACCAGTCACTTTTCCACATGCAACAGAGTCACACCTATTGATGTTTCAACCACGTAGGCTGTCATTTTCGCATGTACAAATAGTCACTGATTTATAGCCACCACTGGCTTCTCATGAAGTTTATTCACACACACAAAATCACCCTCTCCCCTACCTCTTCACACTCATGGCCCCACAGTCTTTGATTATAGCTCAGAGTCGCACACACATACATAATCACACAGCATCTCAGACATTGTCTGCGGCCTTGTCTCACATTTCTTCTCAAGCACCTTCCAACATACCAGTGTTTGATGAACAGCCTTTAAGAAAGTCTCTTAAATGGAACTCCCATTTGACCTAGTGATCCCACTCCTAGGAATATATCCCAAGAAACTAGAAACATGAATCAGAAAGCGTATACGCACCCTATGTTCATAGCAGCACAATTCACCATAGCTAAGATTTGGAAACAGCCTAAGTGCCCATCAGCAGATGAGTGGATTAGAAAACTGTGGTACAGCTACACAATGGAATACTACGCTGTGGTCAAAAAGGAGTTCTTAACCATTTGCAACAGCATGGATGGACCTGGAGAGCATTATGCTGAGTGAAATAAGCCGGTCTGAGAAAGACAAATACCACATGATCTCACTCATTTGTGGGATATAGTGAACAACATAAACTGACGAACAGGGACAGATCCAGAGGCAGAGAAGCATCGATCAGACTGCCAGACCTCAGAGGGAAGCTAGGGGAGAGTGGGCGAAAGGAGATCAAAGGACGTGTATGCATGCATATAAGCCTCACCAATGGACACGAACACCAGGGTGGCTGAGGGCATGAGTGAGGGGCGTGGGTTTGGGGGTTAATGGAGGGATGAGGACACATATGTAATACCTTAATCAATAAAGAAATAATGAAAAAAGAAAGTCTCTTGCGAAGTTTTACACAGACCCATGCAGTGGGCTTCTCGGACACTGCCCCCGTCACCCATTCAGTGTCAGGATCACCTGCCCTCGGTCACTTTCTGACGTCTGTGGTCACTAATTCACAATTAATACTGGAAACTCTCAAGAAGCCTTACACACAGCCTCTCACGGCCTGTCTCAGCCGTTTACACCATCATTTTCATCAGTCGGCTTATCGTACACATTCAAACGTAACTATAGCTTTGCTGGTTTCTTTTTAAAAATCTTTGTTTTAAATCCTCACTTGAAGATATTTTTTCCCCATTGATTTTCTAGAGAGTAGAAGAGGGGAAGAAGGGGGCGGGGAGAGAGAGAAACACTGATGAGAGAGAGATACATCGATTGGTTGTCTCCCGCACACACACCTGCCAGGGCTGAGGAACCTGCAACTGAGCTATATGCCCTTGATTGGGAATGAACCCGTGACCATTCTGTCTGTGGGCCAACACTCTAACCACTGAGTCAACTGGCCAGGGCTTTGCTGGTTTCTTTTTCCATACCAATCACATGGTCTCTCAGGGACCCGTATTCTGTTTTTCACAAAAATATAGTCTGTGACTTCCACTCTTCTGTGAAATGTGTTTCACAGATCCACATACTCTCACACGACTGCTCACTCAATTTTCTTTCTGGCTCATTACTTATTCTCTATTACAGTAATGTGGCCTCTTGTACCATTTCAGACGCACTTAGTCTCATCATTTTCTTTTTATTTTTAAAATATATTTATTGATTTTTTAAATTTTTTTTTTACTGAGAGGAAGAGAGAGGGATAGAGAGCTAGAAACATCGATCAGCTGCCTCCTGCACCCCCCCCCCCCCCACTGGAGATGTTCCCGCAACCAAGGTACATGCCCTTGACCAGAATCGAACCTGGGACCCTTCAGTCCGCAGGCCAACGCTCTATCCACTGAGCCACACCAGCTAGGGCCCTCACACCTTGTTTTGACCACTCAATATGTCTTGCTCATCTTGTCAAACAGTGACTGGTTCGGTCTGCAGTCCCCACTACTTTCTCATAACTTCACACACACCAGCAGTACCTTAACCACTCACTCATTTTTATGGTGATTTCCTGACACAAAGACACAATTTTCACACAGACACAATGCCAAATTTGTGGTTATAACTTCTGCTCTCTCACACACACATATACATACAATCACAGCTTTCTGTTTTATTTTTCACACGTGGTTACCGATCTGCAGTCTCTACTACTGTTTCTGACACACAGGGTCAGACTTTCTCTCACAATCAACCTCATATCACCACTGTCTTTTACACATACCACGCTTGTCACACTCAGTCCCCAGAGGGGAAAAAATGCAAGCAGCCTCCAGCGTCACCTTTAAAAATATATATTTACAGGAACAATTCCCCATACTCTGGTACTCTTAGAAAAAAAAAAAGATCCATTTGGGGGGAAGTAAAACAAACAGCGGAGACAGGTGTAGCACCGTCCCCCAAATCACCCCCCAGGTCCCAGGCCTGGGCCGGGCCAGTGCTGACAGGCGGTGAGCCCAGGAATCCTCCGAACCCACCTCTTCAGCCTGGGATTCAGACAGGACAGGCTTTGTGCCCCCCTGTGCCTCCCTCCCAACTCCAGGGACACTTAAAGGGTCCTTTGTACCCGCCCGCAGGAAATTGGGGGGCTGGGAGGGAGGGAGCTGAAAATACACGTGATATCAAAAATAAACACTTGGGGGCGGCAGGAAGATTCTCCCCCAAATCCCTTTCTTCCCACCCACCCCATCGCAGATATAGGAAGAGATGCCCCTTCTCCCCATCTAAAAGCCCCGTTTAAAAATAGATTATACTATCAAAATGGCAGAGGGTGGGGGACAGGAAGACCTGGAGTACTGGCCAGAGGGGCCCCCCAGACGGGGACCGCTCCCACAAAAAAACCCTCCATTGGGAGGTAAGAGGCAGGACCCCAGGCATTTGGCAGACACGGGAATGGCTTCTCAGGGACAGAAAAGGTCGTTCCCCCCAGCCCAAAAGGCGGCCAACACGTGACAGGCTGTCTGAGAAAGAGGCTGGGGGTGGGGGTGAGGATCCCTCACCCGAGGGTGCGAGTCTGACTTGGTCAAGAACCCCCAAACCACTTCATGGCACAGGTTCTTCCTGGACCCTTGGGGGCAGCTCGGAATAAGGTAACACCACAAGCTAGCTCTGCTGCCCACACCCCGAAAAGGAGATGGGGCCCCCTCAGCTTCCCAAGGGCAGGCTGAGAAATAAATAAAGGGCCTTCTCAAGCCAGACCCTGATTGTCTCATCTTGGGGGGAGAGGGGGAAATGTGGAGCTGGGGGAGATGTCCTCACCACTCCCCGCCCCCAAAAAAGTTGGACCAGGCTCCTCCCAGTGGCCTTCAAAAAATAAATAAATAAACCGCCCCCACCGCTGCGGGGGGAGACGAGCAAGGGCGGCCACTGGGGGACTGACCAAGAAGAGAGAAACTTGTGTTTCCTGTGGAAGAATTATTGAGAGATCCTCCTTCCTTCCTAGGAATCCCCACCCCACCGCGACCTCAGCACAAGGCTGTCAGCTGAACTATGGTTCTCCTGGAGACGGCTGGCTGCGGAGGAGTTCAGGGCCTAAGTGGCCCCGGCGAGGGGCGGTGGCGGTGGTAGTCATGGCTTCTGGGGCCCGGGGGAGAGCACCACGGGGGTGGAGAGGCCATCCACGCTGATGGAGGGGATGTGCACCTGGGCGCTGCCGCTGGATGGAAACTGGGAACAGAAACAGGGAGAGGTCACGGGCGGGGGCGGGGGCGGGGGCCGGGGCCACGTCCCCTCACCCGCTCTGAGATGGGGGGTGGGGAGGAGCCTACCTGGAAGGAGAGCTTGGCCGGGCTACGGGGTGCAATGGGGCTCAGGGTGCTCCAGAAGTGAATGCTGGGGGGCAGCGAGCTGGGCGTCAGCAGCACCGGGGTCTGCGGGGAAGGGGTGGTGGGAGCTCCAGTGAGCAGAGAGGGCGGGCGGGACAATGGAAGGAACTTGGTTCCAGTCCCACCAGATGGCCTACTCAGCCTTCTGAGATCACGCACGCCAAGCGCACAAGCCTAGACCCATGGTCAGCAAACTGCGGCTCTTTGGCCCCTTGAGTGTGGCTCTTTCACAAAATACCATGGCCTGGGCGAGTCTGTTTTGAATAAGTGGTTTTAGAAGAAGTTTAAGTTTAAACAATGTGGCTCTCCAAAGAAATGTCAATCGTTGTCCTGTTGGTATTTGGCTCTGTTGACTAAGGAGTTTGCCGACCACTAGTCTAGATCGTAACTACTAAGGCCATGCCTGTGACATCTCTTCAACTTGACATGGGTGACCCTTTCAACTCCTGAAAGCCCCCACAGGCCTCACTTGTGGTTTTCAAACCTCACAAGTCATCATCCCAATACCTCAGGTTCAACCTCCACTTCCTGTCCCACCTTATACCTCACAGGAAGCCCGCTAAGCAAACCCCAGCCCCCAAAGCCCACTCGGGTTCCTCATGCCCCTTGGAAACAGCTGCTACACAGGCCGCTCAGGCCTTTGATCCACCCACAAACTCCCCTTCATCTGACCCAGAGCCCTCAGCCTGGGCGCCTAGCTCTGGCCCATCTTTCAATCAAGCCCCGTCCCTGCAACCAGTAGCCTTCGAAGGCTCCACCCTCCCTGCTCACTCTGATGGATAACCCCCTGGCCCTAGAGGTCAGTCTACTGCCTCTCCACCAATCCCCTAGGTCCCAGGAGCCAGCCCCCGCCCCTCTACAGGAATTAACCAATGGGTGCGCCCCGGGGGCCAGCCCCACCCCTCTACAGGAATTAACCAATGGGTGCACCCTGGGGGCCAGCCCAGCCCCTTTGCAGGCATTAGCCAATGGGTGCGCCCCGGGAGCCAGCCCCCGCCCCTCTGCAGGCACTAACCAATGGATGCGCCCCTGGAGCCAGCCCCCGCCCCTCTGCAGGCATTAACCAATGGATGCGCCCCTGGAGCCAGCCCCCGCCCCTCTGCAGGCATTAACCAATGGGTGCGCCCAGGGAGCCAGCCCCCGCCCCTCTGCAGGCATTAACCAATGGGTGCGCCCTGGGAGCCAGCCCCCGCCCCTCTGCAGGCATTAGCCAATGGGTGCGCCCCGGGAGCCAGCCCCGCCCCCGAGCTGGCACTCACCAATGTGTGCGTAGGCAGCAGGGATGGCGTCAGCACTGGCCCCGGCGCCTGCAGACCTGAGCCAGTAGCCGATCCCGGAGTCCGTTCGGGCCCCGGCCCCCCTAGCAGGCTAGGGCTGATCGGGAGCTCCAGGTCCCGGGGCTTGCGGCCCTTCTGGGGCTGGGCGATCTCCGTGCTGGAAGCTGTGGAAGCCCCGAGGCCGCCTGCGGGCCCTGCAGTCTCCATGACAACCGCAGGATGCCGGGCGGACACACCCTCCGCAGGAGGGACTTCCCGCCCGGCCCTTGGGGCTTCCGGTGTGTACCCCGCCTCCCCACTGGCTGGGGTTTGGAGCTCTTCCTCGGGCTCTTCCACTTTCACTTCTGGGGGCTGTGGCCGAGCCACGCGAGGCTCCACATTCGCTTCTTCCGATTTAAGGTTCACGGTCTCAGGCGGGGTCAGAATGACCTGGGGGAGGAGGGAGGCGGTGTGGATCGCTGGGGTAGCGAGGCAATGACTCCCCTGGGGAAGTGGGACTTGGGACTGGGGGCATAGCTGCCCACGGGGCGGCTCCTCCAACGGGGCTAGGCTTTGGCCAGGGAAGCAGGGCTTCTTCTGGGGCAGTTTCTCTCTGGGGCCAGGGCTGGACTCCCAGGGATACTGCCCTAAGTCATGAAAGCAGTTCTCAAAACCCTTTCTTTAAAGGGCCAGCAGCATCTGCAGCAACTGGAAGCTAGTTACCAATGCAAATCCGAGCCCAGCCAGCATGGCTCAGTGGTTGAGCCTGGACCTAAGAACCAGAATGTGATGGTTTGATTCCCAGTCAAGGGCACATGTCCGACTCACAGCCATCCCCAATGGGGGGGAGTGGAGGCATGTAGGAGGCAGCCAATCAATGATGCTCATCATTGATATTTCTCTCTCTCCCCCTCCCTTCCTCTCTGGAATCAATAAAAATAAATAAAAATGCAAATTCTTGCCGAAACCGGTTTGGCTCAGTGGATAGAGCGTTAGCCTGAGGAGTGAGGGGTCCCGGGTTCTATTCTGGTCAAGGGCATGTACCTTGGTTGCGGGCACATCCCCAGTAGGGGATGTGCCAGGAGGCAGCTGATCGATGTTTCTCTCTCATCGGTGTTTCTCTCTCATCGATGTTTCTAACTCTCTGTCTCTCCCTTCCTCTCTGTAAAAAAAAAAATCAATATATTTTTTAAAAATGTCAATTCTTGGGCTCATCCCCAGACCCATATAATCAGAAACACTGGGAGTGCACCCCAGCAATCTTTGGGTTAAAAAGCCCTTAAGTTGACTGTGGGAGAGCTAAAGCGAAAGCAGCAGCGCGGTAAGCATATGTGAAAAGCTTTGCACACCTAACACAAGGTGGCGTACTACTAGCGGTGGCGTACTCAATCTCCTTCCTTCTCAGTACTAGCGTGGCTCACCTCCCTTCTCCACGGGGACGTCTGTCCCTCCTCCAACCACAGCTCCTTTAGCAGAACGCTATGTCCCTTCTCTTACCCCTCCTCCTCAGGAAACGGTCCATCCCTCCTCCTCCTGGCTCTCCGTATGCCAGCCCTTACCTGCAGAGGCAGGCCAGCCTCCTCAGCCTCTAGGCAGGCCTCCAAGGGACTTGGGCTGGTGCTCCGGCTCCCCGAGGGGGGCGCTGCGGCTCCCGCCGGGGCGGTGTTGGAAAGCACTGAGACGGACCTCGGATGCAGGGGCAGCTGGAGCTGTGGCTGCAGGGACTGGATGGTGAAGGTGGAATAGAGGCCTGAGCGCATGTACTCGTTCCGGCTGCTTCGAGCCAAGGCACCTGAGCCTGCCACTCCTGCACCCTTGGGTGTGCCTGGCTTCCCGGAGGCAGTGTCCCCGGGGGCGGCGTGTGCAGCGGCGGGGGCCACGTTTGCCACAGTGGAGGTGACAGACACCTCAGGCTGCGGCGGACAGTCCTCAGCGGAGCACCCTGCGACCTCGGGATAGGACACAAACTTGTAGACGAACTTCTGGCCGCTCACTTTGCGGATGATGTTCTGGGAAGGGAGGAGACAGGATAGGGGCCTTAGAAGGAAGGCCAGGGTGGCAGGGGGGTGAGGAGGGGGATGGGTGGGCGAAGGGTGTCTCCCAGTGCCTTTCCCCCGTTGTCCTCCTGTCTTTTTACATACACACCATGCCATCGCCATGTCTGTCTCTCCATGTTCCCCCTCCCAGCCTATTTCACATCTCACCCGTCGCTCTCAATTTGGGGGCTCTTCCTTTCTCCTCCTTCAGTTCTTTTCCCTTTCTTCCCTCCCCATCCCGAATCCCCTTTCTGTACTGCCCCCGTTTCTCCCCCTGTTGTAGTCTCCCCTCCACAATTCTTCCTTTAGTTCACTGCCCTTCTCCCCTTTCCCCGTCTCCTCTCTGTATCCCCCCTCTAAGTCTCCCTCTGTCCCTCTTCCTCTCACACTGAGCTGCTCCTTTCTTTTTTAAAAAAAAAATATATTTTATTGATTTTGTACAGAGAGGAAGGGAGATAGAGAGTTAGAAACATCGATGAGAGAATCATCGATCAGCTGCCTCTTGCACACCCCCCACTGGGGATATGCCGCAACCAAGGTACATGCCCTTGACCGGAATCGAACCTGGGACCTTTTAGTCCCCAAGCCGACGCTCTATCCATTGAGCCACACCAGTCCCAGCTGAGCTGCTCCTTTCCATGATGGGGCCCACACAGGGGAGTGGGTGCAGAAGCAGACTTTCCTCCCGGCTCCAGGAACCAGGGGTGTCTTGGGTTAAGAGGGTCTCACCTCTAGGGTGGCTGCGGGGACACAGTTTTGGAGTCTAGCTAAGGTAGTAAGACAGGAAAACGAAGTAACGGCTATAAATGTTGGAAGGGCCGAAACCAATTTGGCTCAGTGGATAGAGCGTCGGCCTGCGGACTGAAGGGTCCCAGGTTCGATTCCGGTCAAGGGCATGTACCTTGGTTGTGGGTACATTCCCAGTGGGGGGTGTGCAGGAGGCAGCTGATTGATGTTTCTCTCTCATTGATGTTTCTAACTCTCTATAACCTCTCTGTAAAAAAAATCAATAAAATGTGTTTTTAAAAAGATATTCCTTCTATTTAAAAAAAATGAATAAATGTTGGAAGAGACTCCATTAATGTAGAAGAATGTGGTGATGAATTACTAATATAGAGGATTATTTAAAGCCATTGACACAGAAGTGGAACAGAACAAAGTCACTGGGGAGGACAGGGTGAGGAGCCACATTCTTCAAACCTTTGTGGAGGTTTAAGCTACGGCAATTAGGAGATAAAGGAGCCGAGAGCAACTAGACAAGAACATTAAGATGTTGACATAACGTTGGGGAGAATCTCAAGGCTGGCTTAGGTGGGTCCCAGAGCACGTTTGAGATATTTCAGGACACAGCTAGAGGATCTCAGAGCACAGTGAGGTAGCCTCATTGTTAATAATATTCTTTTGGAGGTTTGAGCTGAAGGAATGAATATGAAAATGGAATAAAGGAACTGTGTGCGGCATAGGTCCAGGGCTGTTTTGGGGGACATCTTAATGCTGGTGGGGGTGGGTTTGTGTTTCTCATTAATATTGTTTGGGAAGTTTCAGGTAAAGAAAGAAGATTAAATAACTGGTATAGATATTGGGGAAAAGGATGAGCAAAGTTTCAAATTTTCGCTACAAGAATAAGATGATAAAGTAAAATAACTGATATAAACATTGGGGTAGACCAGTGTTGCTCTGAAAATACAAGAGGATGGGGTGTGGGGCTGGCATTATAGATGTTGTTTGGGGGGTTTTAGCCAAAGGAATAATAGGAGAAAAGAAAAGAATTGATGAAAATGTGAAGGGTCTCAGAGGATGAGCTAGGGAAAGCTTAGCATGATACTATCATGGAGGTTTTGATTCTAGGAATAAGAATCTTCTGCAGCCAAAACCAGTTTGGCTCTGGATAGAGCGTCAGCCTAAGGACTGAAGGGTCCCAGGTTCGATTCCGGTCAAGGGCATGTATCTTGGTTGCGGGCACATCCCCAGTAGAGGGTGTGCAGGAGGTGGCTGATTGATGACTCTCTCTCATCGGTGTTTCTAGCTCTCTATCCCTCTCCCTTCCTCTCTGTAAAAAAATCAATAAAATATTTTTTTAAAGAATCTTCTGCAATGCTTATCCTGGAACAACAGTGGATTATGAAATAACTGGAGGAATCTGGGACTTGTTCAGGGGTCCCAAAGCACAGGATGAGAAAAAGGTATCAATACTATTTTCAAACATTCTGCTATAGGAATAAGGTAAGAAAATGAAATGCGCTGAAACCGGTGTGGCTCAGTGGTAGAGCATTGGTCTGCGGACTGAAAGGTCCCAGGTTCGATTCTGGTCAAGAGCATGTGCCTTGGTTGCGGGCACATCCCCGGTGGGGGGTGTGCAAGAGGCGGCTGGTCGATGTTTCTCTCTCATTGACGTTTCTAGCTCTCTATCCTTCTCTCTTCCTCTCTGTGAAAAATCAATAAAATATATTAAAAAAAAAAAAAAAAGAAAGAAAGAAAGAAAGAAAGAAAGAAAGAAAGAAAGAAAGAAAGAAAGAAAGAAGAAAGAAAATGAAATGCTATGTGGGGTATAGTGGGGCAGCATTACTTTGAAGGTTGTAGCCAAAGCAGTAAGACAAGAAAAGAACTGAGATAAAATGTTCGGGGGAGCTCACCATTGGTCTGAGAGTACCAGAGGATAAGGTAAGAAATGATCAAGTTTAATATTGGTTTCAAAGTTAGAACTGGAGCAATTAAGAAAATGAAATAATTAATAGAAAATGTGGGGTTCCCCGCCCTCATGCGTGAGGCCTTACCTTGTCGTAGTAGTACCGCAGAGCCCGGCTGAGCTTGTCATAATTCATGTTGGTCTTGTTTTTGCGCAGTCCCCACAGCCGGGCCACCTCCTCAGCATCCACCAGCTTGAACTCCCCGCCATCCCGTGAGGTCCAGGAGATGATGTGGCCATTGCCTTGTTCTCTCAACAGCTGCAGCAGAAACTGCCACAGCGTCACCGAGGGGTCCATCGCTGGCGGAGTGCTCACGCCATCCCAGGGGTACCTGCAGGGCAGACAGTTCACAGCTAAAAGGCTGTGGACACAGGGCGTGGCAGAGGTCAGCAGGAGGAGGATTCTTTTTTAAACAAATATATTTTATTGATTTTCCACAGAGAGGAAGAGAGAGGGAGAGAGAGCTGGAAACATCGATGAGAGAGAATCATCGATTAGCTGCCTCTTGCACCCCCCCCCCACTGGGGATGTGCCTGCAACCAAGGTACATGCCCTTGACCGGAATCAAACCCGGGACCCTTCAGTCCGCAGGCTGATGCTCTATCCACTGAGCCAAACTGGTTTTGGCAGGAGGAGGGTTCTTTTCTTGCAATCTTGCTTCCATCTCTGTCCCCAAAGCCCACCATCAATCCCTCAACACCCTCAAACTCAATTCTAAGCTCCTCAGCCTGGCTTAAAAAAAAAAAATATATATATATATATATATATTATTGATTCTTTACAGAGAGGAAGGGAGAGGGATAGAGAGTTAGAAACATTGACGAGAGAGAAACAAGTTGGAAACATCGATCAGCTGCCTCCTGCATACCCCTTACTGGGGATGTGCCTGCAACCAAGGTACATGCCCCTGACTGGATTGGAACCCGGGACCTTTTAGTCTGCAGGCTGATGCTCTATCCACTGGGCCAAACCGGTTAGAGCCACATGAACTCTTAATGAAAGTAGAAGCAAGTGGGAGAAAGGCAGCTCAGAGGGAGACAATGACAGAAGAAGCAGGAGTGACTCCAAGCATGGGAGGACTTAACCTGCCACTGCGAGTTGCAGATGGAATGTGGTGGCCTTTAAAAAATATATATATGTATTTTTTTGTTGATTTTGTACAGAGAGGAAGAGAGAGGAGTAGAGTTAGAAACATCGATCAGAGAGAATCATCGATCAGCTGCCTTCTGCACACCCCCTACTGGGGATGTGCCCGCAACCAAGGTACATGCCCTTGACCGGGATCGAACCCGGGACCCTTCAGTCCGCAGGCCGATGCTCTATCTACTGAGCCACACCGGTTTCAGCTGTGGTAGCCTCTTAAAGCTGGGGATGGCCTTGGCTGGCAGCCAGTAAGGAAGCAGGGACCTCAAGCCTGCCACCTCAGGGAACTGGATTCTGCCAGCAACCTGAGCCAGCAGGAAACCACCCTCCCCTGGAGCCTCCGGAAAGGAATGCGGAGCTGCCCACACCTGGATGGAGTCTGCCGAGGCGGGCGCCGAGCTTCTGATGGCCAGAGCTGGGGCAGAGTACGTTTGTGTTGTTTTAGGCAGCTGCATGCATTTGTTCCAGCAGGAATCGAAGGCTAGTGGAAGGTTCCTAGCCTGAACATTTGCATTTTCAACCACAGCAGACATCCAAGTTTTCCAGGAGGGTCTTCCTGCCAGCTCCTCTCATTCGCTATTCCAATATAAAATGAACTAATATTCGCTCCATGTGGGGCTCCGTTCCTCTGCCTGAAGTTTTCCTTGTAGTTCAAGCCCTGGCACCGCGGCCTTGCCTTTGGGCAGTCTTTCTGGAACGGAATGCCTGCTTTCCTCTGCCCCTCTGCCCACACGCCTCGGCCCCGCTCCTGTCCCTGGTTGTTCTCCTTCGTGGTAACAGCCACACTGCTGTTTATTGAGTGCCTAATACGTGCCGGGCATGGTTCCAACCAGGCAGCATGGCTCCCTGGACAGTCACCCAGGCTCCACAAGCGGACTGCCAGCGCTGGACTCCTGCCTGCCTCTGCAACCTGTTAGCAGTGGGATCCCTGGGCCTGGTCTTTAACTCCATGCCTCAGTTTCCCCATCTGCGAAATAGGGATCAGGATAATACCACCCCGTTCACAGGGTTATTTACAGAATAAATACGCCAGGGATAGGCCGAGCTCTCATCAAATATTCATTTCTGATGTGTTCATCGTCTACTTGATTCGCTGTTCCAAAAAGGCTCTAAGAACAGAAGGCTTCTTTGTAAGCGTTTTGGCAGCAAAACCTGATCTGACGGGAAACCAGGCCCTGTGTGGTCCTCCCTGAGCCTCGCTCAGTGTGACTGTCCGTGCGTTCTGCTGCAGAGATCTGAATGCGCCTGATTACGGAGCTCACTGAGGGTGTTATGTAACGTCTTGGATGTGCACCTTGTCACCCTTTTCCAGCCTGAGAGATGTGCCATTCGGACCCTCTGGCCCCGAGGCTTCCAGAGGAGGGCATGCAGACCTGTGCTGGTATTTTTCTAAGCACTGACTCATTTCTCCCTCGTCACAACGCCGACACGGGGGTGCTGGCTGATTGCTAATCTATAAAGCAGGGAGCCCAGGCACAAAATGTCTCAATGACGTCCACAGGCCACACAGCTCTGTAGGTGGCAGAGCCAGGATTGGGATCCAGGCGGTCAGGTTCTGGTTGTCTAAGCTCTCAAACCATTAGGCTACGTTGCCCTTCGCACTGACTGCTCCTTCGGCGTGTCCTGCAGAGAACGGGACCTTCCCTGTACCCCCAAACCGGCTCCCTTTGCTGAGCGTGCATTGGAAATAAACGCGAGCTCCCTATTCCTCACAGAATGAGGTTTCGTCAATCAACTGTTCACTGGCTGGGATTGTTGGGTTAAGAATAAGACCTTCCAAATCAGGTGTCAAAGTGCCTCCCTCTATTATTTACAGCTTGATTCTTTAATCTGTATAATTAAATATATAGTATGATCCTCTTTTTTAAATATATTTTATTGATTTTTTTACAGAGAGGGATAGAGAGTTAGAAACATCAAAGAGAGAGAATCATTGATCAGCTGCCTCCTGCACTCCCCCCCACCCCCCCCACCCCCGCACTGGGGATGGGCCTGCAACTCAGGTACATGCCCTTGACCAGAATCAAACCCGGGACCTTTCAGTCCGCAGGCCGACGGTCTATCCACTGAGCCAAACCGGTTTCGGCTCTTTTTTTTTTTTTTTTAATTTTTATTGATTTCAGAGAGGAAGAGGAGAGTCAGAAACATCAATGATGACAGGGAATCATTGACCAGCTGCCTCCTTCACGCCCCCTACTGGGGATCGAGCCCGCAACTGGGGCATGTGCCCCTGACCAGGAATCGGACCTGGGACCCTTCAGTTTGCAGGCCGATGCTCTAGCCACTGAGCCAAACCAGCCAGGGCTGATCCTCTTTTTTAAAACAATGTTTTTATTGATTTTTTTTAAGGGAGAGGGATAGAGAGATAGAAACATTGATGAGAGAGGAACATCAATCAGCTGCCTCCTGCACGCCCCCTACTGGGGATCGGGCTGGCAACCTGGGCATGTGTCCTGCCCGGAAATTGATCTTGGTTCACTGGTCCAGGTTCAACCACTGAGCCATACCAGGGCGAGTATGATCCTCTTATGTCTGAGCTGTTTCAAAGTTCATTCGGCAGAGACAATTTTAGGCAATTATACAGGCCACAACGCCACGGAGGGTCCAGATGAGAGAGTCCTGGCTTCGGCGCTCTCACTGAGCTTATTTCGAAGGCCTGCTTGTGTCAGAGGCACTAAGAGTTCAGTATGACTCCTGGTGGCAAAGAGGCAATTTCAGCAGTTTCTCTCTCAGGGGCAACGGGACCTATCAGTGTAGGTGCAATCTGACAGCTCAAGCCTCAACAGCACACAGGGCTTTGTATTTTGTTTATTATTACATTTCCCATGTGACCCTAATAAAAGCTCTAGTAACCGGTTTTATTCTAATGTGTTCACCTTTCTTCATTTCATTTATTTTTTTTAAACTTTTATTGATTTTTTTTACAGAGAGGAAGGGAGAAGGACAGAGAGCCAGAAACATCGATGAGAGAGAAACACCGATCAGCCGCCTCCTGCATACCCCGCACCGGGGATATACCCACAACCAAGGCACATGTCCATGACCGGAACCGAACCTGGAACCCTTCAGTCCGCAAGCCGATGCTCCACCCACTGAGCAACACCGGCCAGGGCTCAGCCATCATTTACGGAGTGCCTGCTAGAGGCCAGGTGCTCTAGTGAAAGTGACATTTCCGCGGGGCAGACAGGCAAGAGACAAGATCAACAAGGAAAGAATGTCAGATGATAACAGCCACAGGGGAAAAGAAATGAAACGGGGAAGGTGTTATTTTTTAAAGGCTAGTCAGGGAAAGGTCATCGCTGAGGAGGTGGCATTTGAGCAAAGACCTAAAAGAGGTGAAGGAGTCAGGTTTGATGCCTCGGGGAGCAGTTCTGCAGGCGGAGGAAACAGCCTGAGGCTGGAGGAACAGAAGAGTCTGGGGTGGCTGGACGGGAGGCCGTTAGGGGACAGTAGGAGAGGACAGAGGGGTAACGGGGGCCAGACCGAGGGAGCCTTTTTTGGGCCCTGTAAGGACTTTGACTCTGCGTGAGGCGAGAGCCATGAGAGGGCTGTGACAGGGATGCTGTTAACAGGATCCATCTGGCTCTTGTGAGAACAGACTAGTGGCTGAAGAGGGTACTGCACTGGTGTTAAGTGAGAATGCTGTGGCAGCAGAGGGATGTACTGACATGCCAGATGGGGTGAGAGAGGAACCAAGGGTGGTTCTAAGTTTGTGGCCCGACCACCTGGAAGGATGGGCAGAGGGAACAGCATGTACAAAGGCTCTGAGGTGGGCACACGCGTGGCACACGACATCAGGAACGCCCTGCGAGTTCGCCCAGTTCCCATGTCTGAGGCTACGTCCGCACTCTTCTCCCTTCCCTACGCTGAAGCCTTTGCCACACAATCCTTAAGTTCCAGTATCTTCAGGGCAGAACGGATCCTTCCTTTTGTGATCCAATGCACCGAATAACCTGTCTGCCCTAGCACAAAGCTGTTCCTCTCTGGGTCTTCAGCCTCGTACTCCTTGGCCCTGGTCTAGCTGTGTGACCCTGAGTTAGTTACTCAACCTCTCTGAGTCTGTTTCGGCATCTGGAAAATGGGGACATTTGGTTCACAGAGTACATTATCCTCAAAATACACCTCCTCTCAAAGGCTTCTGTGGAGATTCGATGGCGGAAATGTAAAGGGCTTCGAAAAGTATCGCTGGCTCATGGGAGACAATCAAGAAGTGGTAGCTGTTTGCTAGCGTGTCATCCTGCTCCCTCCCCCTACCCCCCCACCCCAGCCTTGTGTATCACTGTGACCTATTTACCACCTGGCTCCCCTTACAGCTCACATCTCGCCTCCAATCGCTCTCTCCGCTCCGCTCCTGCTGCACTGGCCTCCGCTGGGGGCCTTGGACATGCCAGGTGCCATCCCGGCTCGGGGCCTTTGCTTCGGCCGTGCCTTCTGTCCAGCGGACTCTTCCGCTAGACATTATGGCTGCCTCCCTCTCCGACCTCCTTCAGGCCTGAATTCAAGAGCCACCTTCGAAACGAAGGCCTGGCATGTTTAACCACCCTAATACTCTATTCCTACCTTCCCTACTTCATTCTTCTTCCCCAGCACTTGTCTAAAATACTATCTATTTTTACTTGTTTTATTTATATAGTCTGTCTCCTCCACTTTTAACAAACGTATGCTCCCCAGGAGCTGGAATTCCTGCCTACCTTCCCCTCCCACCCCCCCCCCCCGTGCCTGGTCCTTACTGGGTGCTCAGTCAAGTGTTTGATGAATGAACAGTCCCAGCTAACTAGCCTCTTAACTAGTTCTCCATGCCCTCTTCATTCCCATCTGCTCCCGCCCTGATTTGTCTGAAATTATATTTCCCCACTCATTCGTGCAACAAATGTGTATTAAACACCTCCTGTACACGAGGGGGATGTTTTTAGGTGCTGGAGACCCAGCAGGACTAAGCAGACAAACCTGTAAGCCTTCCTGGGACTTCTAATGGGGAGAGACAACACGACACACTGGCCAACTAAACGGCGTGATCCACAGCGATAAAGGGCAAAGGGAGACATAAAGCAGAGGAGGGGCCTCAGCCCACTGGGTGTGCGGGCTCAGATGGTCAGGGATGAGGTGACACTGAACAGAGTCCCAAAGGGAACCATGACCAGGGGCTAAAGTGTTCCGGGCAGGAAAAAAATGGCCAATGTAAGGCCCTGAGGCAGGACCACTGTGAACTTGAGGACAAGTGAGGAGGTCAATGCGGCTGGAACATAGTTGGGAGTGTAGGAGGTGAGGCCAGAGAAGTTACTTGCTTCATTATTTTATATATATATATATATATATATATATATATATATATATATATATATATTTTTTTTTTTTTTTTTGAGAGAGGGAGGAAGAGAGAGACAGAAACATCGATGATGAGAATGATGATTGATTGCCTCCTACACGACTCCCACTGGGCATCGAGCCCACAACCTGGACATGTGCCCTGACTGGAATCGAACCCAGGACACTTCAGTCTGCAGGCCAATGCTCTATCCACTGAGCCAAACCAGCTAGGGCTACTTGCTTCATTATTATCTTACAGGTATTCTTTAATGGAGCCTTCCTGGCGTGGCTCATTGGTTGAGCGTGGACCTATGAACTGGGAGATCATGGTTCAATTCCCGGTCAGGGCACATGCCTGGATTGTGGGCTCCATCCCCAGTGTGGGGAGTGCAGGAGGCAGCTGATCCATGATTCTTCATCATTAATATTTCTATCTCTCCCTTCCTCTCCGAAATCACTAAAAAATAAGTTGGTATTTTAAGGAGTGGGGCCTCACATGAGATGGGATGAGCAGAAAGGGCAGCCTCAAAAAGTACTCTGTGTCCTGCCAAAACCGGTTTGGCTCAGTGGGTAGAACGTCGGCCTGCAGACTGGAGGGTCCTGGGTTCGATTTCGGTCAGGGGCATGTACCTTGGTTGCGGGCACATTCCCAGTGGGGGGGTGTGCAAGAGGCAGCTGATCGATGATCTCTCTCATTGATGTTTCTGACTTTCTATCCCTCTCTCTTCCTCTCTATAAAAAATCAATAAAATATATTTTTAAAAAAGTACCCTGTGTCCTGAGAGGCACCCTAACTTGGCACTTATCGGGCCACCTTTAAGTAAGTGACCCTCCCTATGCCAAAGTTTCCTCAGCACCTATCCAGCAGGGTTATGGTGAGGATTACATGAGCTCATTCAGATCCAATACTTGGCTTGGTACTCATAGATGTTAGTAGCTGCTCAATAAACGTTGGCTCCTGTTAGCATAAGATATTCATTTACTGCGAGGATGAGCATCTTCATGGTTACCAGTGTGCATGAGGGGGGTGTTCTAGAGTAAAGAATACTTGGGTTCAACAAGCAGACAAGCTGATCCACCATGAAGAAGGAGAGGGGGGTTCAGGGAAGGAGAGGGAAAGAAAAAGCACACGGGCTGACCCTCCTGGAGGAGGGACTGCCAAGCACTGGGCTGTGAAGGCAGGCACGTGGGTAGCCTGAAGGCTAATGACCAGATCCATTGCCAAGGAGGGGTGGTGGCAGTGTGAAGGCTTATCTTATTTATAGATAGACTGCTTCACAATAGTGGAGGGGATGGTGGGGGAGTCATCACACAGGGATTGACTGGAAGGAGAGGGACAAGGCCAGGGACCGGGCTGCTGATTATGGGGAGATAGGAAGCACTAAACTGACCCATTGTTAACGGGAAGGGAGAAGCCCAAGGAGTGTCCGTCTGCAGAAAAGGGAGGACAGGGCAATAGGCTGATAAGTGGGGAGATGTGAATACCAGCATTCAGACGGACCCGCTGGAAAATGGTGTGCGCGCGCGTGCGTGTGACAGAGCCGCGGGACAGATGTGCGGGGGGGCTGGGGGCGGCAGGAACACAAGTTCACAGGTCAGTTTAACGTTAACGTTAACGAGCGGGGGAGGGGGGAGTACAGGAACGGGAGGGATGGAGCCAACGGGGTCACGGACGGGGCCCCTGAAAGTTGAGGAAAGGAGAAATCCACTCCGAAGTCCGACTATCACAGTTGGATGATGCCAAAGAGCGGTCCCCTGTGAGTGTGGATGGGGGACGGGGGGGGGGGTGGGGGGGGCCGCGCAGGACCACGGACGAGTCCACTGGAAAGTGAGGTGGGGAGAACTGTAAGCGCGCAGACCGATCCACTACTAAACAGGAAGGGGGGGCGGCCAGATATATTACAGGGGGCGAAAGCAGGGAGCAATGCCACGGGCAGGTCCGCCAGGCGTGGCGGCGGCGGCGGGGAGTCGAACACCAGCAGGCCACGGGCCAAGCCACATCCCTCGCGCGGGGGCGGGAAGGAGACGTGCGGTCACGGACCCAGCCCGCCACCCTCCAGGCCCCGCTCACCTGTGCGGAGGGCAGCGGCGGTGTCGGCAGCTCCGGGGGGCGGGGGCTCCATGCGCGGCCCCACCGCCCCCCAGGCCCGGGTTCTGAGGCGGCCGGGACGGCGGCGGTGGCGGCGGCGGCGGCTGCGGCGGCGGTGGCAGCGGCAACACCTAGAGGCCGCCCCTGCGCTTCCCTACCGCTCACGTGGGCCTCGGGGGAGGAGCCGAGCGGCTCGCGGCTCGCTGATTGGCCAAGCGCCGTAGATTGACCACCGCGGGCAGGCGGGCTCTGCTCCACAGACTATGACGTGATTGGCCCGAGGGGAACTGATGGAACGCAGAGGGCGGGGCCCAAGGGGGCGGTCTCAGCCCCCTGGGCGCTGCGCGTTGATTGGACAGATCCGTGAGTAATTGACAAGGCTCTGGGGGCGCCGGCCTCGCAGATTGGCTGGTCCGGGATTGATGGAAGACCTCTGAGGATTGGGGTGCGTGGGCTCCGCTTTCCGCTGATTGGGGGACGAGGGCCCCCTAGACAGCTGCCAAAACGACAGGGCGGGGCTGCCCTCCCGCCGCTCGGCGGAAGCAGGACTTATATGGCAGTGGGCGTAGCGGCCGGCAGTAAAGGGGTCGCGCCAGAGCCCTGCCCAGGCGGGCAGGGGAACTCTAGTGATTGGCTAGGAAAGACAAATTTAGACCGAAGTCCAGGCAGGGCAGGACAGCTGCCAGGCGAGTGAAGGAGCGGAGTGGTGGAAACTAAATGCCGAGGAGGGCAGGGCCGGGTTGCAGCCAGTTATAAAGGGGTTGAACTTGGCTCTGTTATGTATTGGAAGCTGGACAGAACCTAGACGAAGGGCGGGACCACGGAGGGCGGGATCTGGCTTCGTGCCCACTGGTGGAAACTGAACTATTTAGAAGCAGCCGTGAGGCCAATTTAGGGCGAGCCGGGCATGGTTGTAATTTAAGGTTCCTGAGGAATGATCAGGATGTGGGAGAGGGGTAAAAACCTTGGGGCCAGGAGTGAAAGGCTGACTGCCTTGGGGACAAACCTCCGCCCTGAATTGGCCCATTCGCTATCGTAATTAAAAGAATAGTGCCCAAGATTAAAAAAAAAAAATGGTCAGGTGGAGGGCCAGGTTGCCAAGACAACGGCAGAGAGGGCAGAGCAGTAAGTCTAGTAGCAAATGCTGCCAGGTATCAGGCTGGAGGCAGGACTTTAGGGGTGCTTCAGACACAGGGCACCTTAGCAAACAGTGAGGGGTAGGGGGAAATGAAGGGCCATGTGACTCAAAAAAGGCATTTAAGCTCTTTAATGTCGGGAGAGGGGGGAGGCAGTCAATGGTGAGGCTCCTCAGGGATGTCCTGCAGGCCTTGCAGTTCTCTGAGGCCCTGGAAAAGAGGACAGAAAACATTGAATGGGGGCCCTGACCCAGGCTTGTTCTGACCTCCCCTCCCTCAGAGCCGCCCTGGCTCCAGCCTGGCTCCGTTCAGAGGCGGGGACAGATGGGCCTTCCGGTCCCTGGCTCTCTCCCTTCAGGTCGCCACCCTAAGTGCGTTGGGAGACAGAGCCTGGGAGTGGGGTGAGCTGCTCTCACCTCCAGCAACATGTGGATATGGGCTTTGATATTCATTGAGTCCTTGGTGAGGCTGTCGCTGAGCCTGGAGAAAAGAAACAAGAAAGGGCGAAGTGGGCCCCATGATCAGAGGGTGAGGCTTCGTCCTCATTTTAAGAGCTACCTATGTCCCGGATGACTTCCCTGCAGCAGGTGGCAAAACACCCGCCATCAGACCTGATCCTCTCCAGACACGCCTAGACATCATCTGAGCTGCACTAACTCCAAGAACGAATGAATTACTGAATCCCTACTCGATGCCAGGTGGTGTGAGGTACCAGGGAGACAGCAGAAAACATGACCAACAAAAACTTCCACTTCATGAAGCTCAAGTTCTCATTAGGAGGGACAACTGATGAGTGAAATACAGACTATGTCAGACGGTTCTAAGGATGATGGAAACAATTACACAATAAGAGGGAAGGAGGAGTATGGGGGGGGGGGGCTGCAATTCTAATCAGAGTGCTTAGGCCTCACTGAGAAGCATTTGAATCAAGACTTGAAGAACTGAATCATCTGCATATTGGGAGGGTGAATGTTATAGACACAAGGGGCAGCAAATGCAAAGGCACTGAGGTGGGGGTGCGCCTGGCATATCTTGAAGCACAACAGAGGCAGTGTGGCTGGAGAATAAGGCGGGTTGCAGGCAGTGAGGTCAGAGCGCGGGAGGCAGATACGTAAAACCTACAACGTCACGGTTAAGGACTCTGGCTTGTACTGTAAGTGGGATTTGATCATAGCAGGAATGTGAACTGACTAGGGTTTTATTTATTTATTTTTTTAAAATATTTTTATTGATTGTTTACAGAGAGGAAAGGAGAGGGATAGAGAGTTAGAAACATCGATGAGAGAGAAACATCAGTCAGCTGCCTCCTGCACATCCCCTACTGGGGATGTGCCTGCAACCAAGGTACATGCCCTTGACCAGTATTGAGAACCTGGGACCCTTCAGTCCACAGGCTGACGCTCTATCCACTGAGCCAAACCAGTTAGGGGCTGACTAGAGTTTTAGAGGATCCATCTGGCTGCTCTACGGAGAATCGACTGGGGATGAGCAGAGCTGGTATGGAAGCAGGAAGCCCAGCGAGGAAGCTACTGCAATAGTCCATGTGAGACATGGACTCAGGCCTCAGTAGCAGCAGTTGAGGTGATAAGAAATAATTGGATTTCGGATTGATTTTGAAGGTAAAGTCAACAGGATTTACCAAAGGGTTAGATGTTGGGTGTCATAGAAAGGATCAAGAAAGGCCTAACTGGAGGGAAGCTGGAGTTGCCTGAAACCACTTTGGCCCTGGAATGCTGAGTTACACAAACCGGTGCATTCCTTCCATAAGCCAACTGGGTTCACTCTCACTCAACAGAATCCTCAATGGCAAAGGGTCCCGGGAGGCCTTTCTGAAGAATGCAGAATGAGTAAGAGTTAAACAGTAGGAAGGTCTTCTCCGCAAAGACCAGACAGCAGGAAAAAGCTTTTTGAGGAGCAGCCAGGCGAGAGCATTAGAAAATTAAGTGAATGATGGGAAGAAAATTGGGTCCAAGAAGAAGTAAGGGGATAGATCATGCAGGGTCTTGATATCATGATAAGGAATGCGGACCTCATTGTGCTGAGCTATCTGTAAATGCAGGAGTCAGTTTTAGGGAAACTAAATACTGTAAGAAAGGAGAAGGCAACAACACAGGATGATAAATTAGAAAAAATCAGTATAAACCTATTTACATATCAGTATCTCCCAAATATCTATCTTCAGTCCAGACCTCTCTCCTGAGCTCCAGCCTTGGGAGTTTTAACTACGTCTTCAAAAACTCAACCTCAATGTTTAACAAGCACCTCACACTCAATAAATCCTAGACGGAACTCTGGATTTTCCCCTCTAAATCTGCTCCCTACCCCTGTCTTCTCCATCTCAGATAATGGCAACTCCATCCTTTCAGTTTTTCTTTTTCATCCTCAAAAAAGATTTTTCAGCCCACAACCTGAACTGCTCTTTCACTCACACCCCACATCCAATCAAGCATTCTATTTAAAATTGTAACTACAGTTTTTCTTATCTGCATTCCACGCTGTTCTCTGTAGAATGGTTTGTGACATACTACATCATATACATGTATTTGTCTAGTCTCCCCTGACTAGAATGTAAACCATGTAAGATTTGGCAGAGACTTGGTCTGCTTTGTTCCCTGCTGTATCCCCAGTGTGTGGCACATGGTAAGCACCCAATGTATATTGAAGGGATAAGTGAATGACGATTTTCCTCAAAGAAACGTGAAGTCCTCAAATGATGCTTATGGACAAGACGTAGAGGGTGTTGTGGCCAGAAAGCAAGAATGCTTTCAAGAAAATCTAGGGTAGTGATCAAAGAAGAGGAATGAAATGGATCAGCTTGATCCCTTGATCAGGACAATTTGAACATCAAAGAAAAGAATTAATGGCACAAGCTTACCGTATTTTCCGGCGTATAAGACGACTTTTGAAACGAAAAAAAAAAGTCAACCAAAAATCGGGGGCAAAAGACCAAAATTGCACAAAAATTACCTGCAGATCTTGACGGCAAAGTAAGCCTTTTCTTTGAAGTGGGGGGGTAGTCTTATACAGCGAATATAGGCCTAAACCTATGTTTTAACTGTAAAATTAGGGGGTCGTCTTATACGCCGGAAAATACGTAATCTATGAGAGGCTATTAGTTCAACACTTAAGGAAAAAAAAGAAGAGTCCTCAAATGCTAGTTGTAACACAAACGGGATATTTTTAATTTATTGCTACTGGTTTAACATGGAAGGCAGTGTTAAAAGTCATATGGTTATTCTGCTCCTTCTATAATGACTTGTCTGTTTGTGGGTGTGAATGTGCATTCTGTGTGTAATCAGGAAAGAATACACAAAGAGACCTGATCCTCCCACTCCCCAAACAAAGAAATATACTAAGACCAGGAAGAACTGATAGGACATTTTTGCTACATAAAATAACCTGAAAGGAAGTTGAAAGTTTGCCATAAGAAACAATGCATTTTAAAGAGAGCAAGCTACACAGCCTCAAATCCTCATCTTCTAGAAAGAATAAACTTCTGGGGATTCCCACTGATTATAATTAAGAGAGATTCCACCAGATTTCTCATCAAAATAAAGGACCATGCTAATAAATCAAAAAGACCAGACAAGGGAGCAGGCACTGATAACTTAAAAGACATCAAGTCTCCTAAAATTAAAATCTATTTGAAAGGCTCCTAAATCCTGTGACATAGCAAGGAGAGCTTTGTTCCAGAAACTGGTCTTGGTCTAAATGACCACCAGTTCAGAATTGTGTTGGCCTGTGGGAACAGGCCCCTCAAATACACTCTTCACCAACTGGCCGGCTCACTAAGGTTTAGAAATCTCAGCAGGTCTGAGGCTCTATTCTGTCTAACGCTGAGACCCTGGAAAGGTTTGAAAAGAGATGTACTGAAACCCGAAGGGAGGCAACTCTGGAAGAAGTGAATGTAGGAACAAAGATCACTATAACCCAGAGGGCATTTCAGATCAGTGCTAGTCACTTCAGCGAGGTGTTGTTAACGTAAGTATATTGCTCAGGGTCCCCTCACTCACTCCACCTCAGCCATGCTCACCTCTCCTGGCAATTCCTCCAACACAGCAGGCGCACTGGTCCCCTTGCCAGGAATGTTCTTCCCTGGACAGCCCCCTTCCTTGTTCCCTCAACCAAATCTCTCAAATGTCACTTCCTCTGGGCGGCTTTCCCTAGCTACATTTCAAACCTCTCACCCACACGCCCAATCCCCCTTCCCTGCACAAAACCTTAAAAGCAACCGGAGCCCATAGTTTCTTCCCACGTCACCTCCCCGTCACCACCAACAGAGGCCTGCTTCAATCCCCACTTTAACCCGTTACCAACATTCACTTAGATTCATTCAGCAAACAGACTGCCTACTATAAGCTATGTACTATTCTAGTCACTGGGGGCAGAGACAAAATATCTACTTTTATAAATCTTATATCCCAATGGGAGGAGGCAGTGAACATTAGGAAGAAGTAAATTGCACAGTAAACATTAGGGGATCATTAAGTATCAGGGAGAAAGAAAAAGCAGAGTGAGGGAAGAGAATCAGGAGTGCCAGGGGTTGCACTTTTAAAGTTAGGTTACAGAAGACCTCTTTGAGGAAGTGACATTTATTTTTTATTTATTTATTTTTTAAATATATTTTATTGATTTTTACACAGAGAGGAATTGAGAGGGATAGAGAGTTAGAAACGTCAATGAGAGAGATACATCGACCAGCTGCCTCTTGCACTGGGGATGTGCCCGCAACCAAGGTACGTGCCCTTGACCGGAATCGAACCCGGGACCTTTCAGTCCGCAGGCTGACGCTCTATCCATTGAGCCAAACCGGTTTCGGCAGGAAGTGACATTTAAAGAATATATATATATTTATTGATTTCAGAGAGGAAGAGAGGGAGAGAGACAGAAACATCAATGATGAGAGAGAATCATTGATTGGCTGCTTCCTGCATGTCCCCCACTGGGGATTGAGCCCGAAACTGGGGCATGTGCCCTTGACCAGAATTGAACTTGGGACCCTTCAGTCCTCAGGCCAATGCTCTATCCACTGAGCCAAACCAACAAGGGTGAGGAAGTGACATTTAAGCAAGACTTACACTGAGTAAGGAGAAAGGAGCCATGCAGGCACATGGGGAAGAAGTACTGCAGACAGAGAACAGCCTCTGCCGGTGTGGCATTGACCTATGAACCAGGAGGTCATGGTTCAATTCTAGGTCAGGGCACATGCCCGGGTTGTGGCTGGATCCCCAGTAGATTGTGTGTAGGAGGCAGCCGATCCATGATTCTCTCTCACCATTAATGTTTCTCTCTCCCTTCCTCTCTGAAATTAATCAATCAATCAATAAATGAGCTTAACGATAGTATCAGGAGGTGAAGTCAGAGGTAACTTTTTGAATATATATTTTATTGATTTTTTACAGAGAGGAAGGGAGAGATATAGAGTTAGAAACATCCATGAGAGAGAGAAACATCAATCAGCTGCCTCCCGCACCCCCCCCCCACTGAAGATATGCCCGCAACCAAGGTACATACCCTTGACCGGAATCGAACCTGGGACCCTTCGGTCCACAGGCCGACGCTCTATCCACTGAGCCAAACCGGCTTCGGCAGAGGTAACTTGTTTCGTTGTTAGTGATATACAACAGTATAGGTCTACTAGAATGTAAGCCTTCAAGAAGCCCTCTGTCTTATTCACTGCTGCCACCCTACCACCAAGCACAGAGTCTGCCACACAGCACTGCCCAAGACATGTTTGTGTGAATGAAAAAGACAAAGACCGTTATCGAGTGCTTAACATGTGCTACGAAGGGCTGAGCTTTGCACCCGCCGTTTCTTCAGCCCTACCCCTGAGGCGGCGGGGAGATGGGTCCCTAAGTGTCCCAGGAAGCCACGGGGAAAAGGAGAGGTGTTGCAAATGGTGGTGTTCTTAGACACTATCCTCATGGAATAGACTTACTCGGTGAGGAGGTTGCTCTTACGGTCAATAAACTTGAGAGCTTCTGCCAATGTCAACTCCAGGAAAAAGCCATATCCCAGGGCCACGTAGATCCGGGAGGTGTCTGAGCTGGGGAAACAGTGGTTAGAGGAAGCAGGGCGAGTTCTTATCCCTGTTTGGCATACCACACCGTGTATTTAAGACTTTTTTACTCCCCTCCCCTCCTTCCCTTCCCCCATTGCAGCTCTGGGAGAGCAGGAATTTTGTCCTATTTTATGCACTGTCACATCTCCAGCGCCTAGCACAGTGTCTGGTACATAGCAAATACTAAACAGAACAAAAAATCCGTTGAACGAAGAAATGGGGCTGAACCCTGTGGGCTTAAAGGGGCGGGAAGACACTCACACAACTGTGTCAACGAAAAAATTACAGCCCAAATCCACCTGCATGTATAACTCCGAGTGTGTGGTCTCCTGTGGGGCCAGAGAAAGAGCGGTAGGGGTTAGTGGTCAACTTTTAGGCCACGTGACAGGGTTTGGTTTGGGCTATTTCCTCCCTGGCCCCTCCCTTGCCCCCCAAAAGAAGGTACCCAACCTTGGCATTTTTACCTGGAGACGCTCAATCACATTTCTCAGTTGAAGGTATTTGGACAGCTGCTCATATACCTTGTCACGATGGTCCAGTACCTTTCTGATGGGACATGATGGGACAAAAGGAAAATGGTGACCAACAGGAAGCCCTGTCCTTGGATTACCTCGTATTATGGCCATCTGAGACCCTCAAGAGGGCCGTTAGTGCAGAAGTTAAGATTTGGACTCTGGGTCAGATTGCCTGGGTATGAATCCAGGCTCTCCTTTTACTAGCTGCGTGACTTTGGCAAGTCAATAACCCCTTTGGGATTCAATTTCCCCCTCTATAAAATAGGGAGGACAAGTATTATCTCCTAGAGTCATTAGATGGATTCAATGAGTGTTTACTATAAAGTACTTAGAATAATGCCTGTCAAATAGTAAGCTCCATATGTGTGTTGGCTATTATTTATTAGTATTATTATATCACTCCCAATGTCTTCCTCCAATCAGAATGTCTTATTCTCACCCTAGAAAAATCCTCCATCCCTTTTAGGATGTTCTTTTAAAAGGTTGTTTATTGATTTCAGGGAGGTTAGGTGAGGGAGAGAGAGAAATATCAATGATGAGAATCATTGATAGGCTGCCTCCCAGGATTGAGCCCAAAACCCAGGCATGTGCCCTGAGGGGGAATTGGAAATCGCGACCTCCCGGTTCATAGGTCCACACTGAACCACTGAACCACACCGGTGGGGATAGGTGCTCTTAATACTAGTTCTGAACACTCTATTTCCTGCTCAGATTGTAATAATAATTTTTCATACTCATTGAACCTCTAGCATCCACGTTAAATCCTTTACAAGAACTGCTCAAAACCACTGATGGGACAAGAGTCAAATGGAAGGATCCATCAACTAACCCATTTCACAGATGAGCAAACTGAGGACCATAAAGGCCAGGCGAGGCACGTTTTCACACTGATGGCTAAATGGCCCAAACTGGTTTCGAACCCGAGAACTCTGGCCTAGGAAATCCAGGTCTTAAACTGTTCAGCGACATCGAAGGCCGCGACACATCCTCTATTTAAGAGGCCAAGTCCCAGGCAAGTAGCACCCCAACTGTCGCCCCTCCTTCCCTTTTGAATGGCGCGCAGGGCCGGGCTCCAAAAACCCTGCCCGCCAATCAGAAGGCGAGGCCCTGACTCCTACCGCCCAGCTCACCACGTGGCAAGTGCCCCATGCCCCGCCCCCTGCCACTCACCGCAGGTCCCGCTGCAGCACGTCCGAGACGAAGGCTTCGTAGCGCAGCACTTTCTCCCCCGTGTCTTCCAGGGCCCGCCGCTTGGGGGGCGTCGCCATGATGGGCTCCTGAGGAACAGGGTGGGAAGACCACGTTGGACACCCGGTGTGTCCGCAGACACAGCACATCCGCCCCCTCTCCACGTGGGGAGCGGGCACATCCGGCCAACGCTGGGGGTCGGGGATCGGGGCGGGGGAGGGCGTCCGCCTTCTTCCCCTTCCAACTCGGGGGCCCGCCACGCAGGAGTACCCCAACGCAGCCCTCACCTTAGAGCCGCCGGCCATAAGAAAGGTTGGTAGGAACCATGGCTTCCGGGTGGCGCGGCTGAATGACGTATGAACAGGGCGCGGGCCAATCAAACAGCCGGACGGGGCGGGGCTGTCCGAAGCGGAAGCAAAAGGAGCGGCGCGGAGGAGAGGGGCGGGGCTAGCGGAATCCCGGGAGATTGCGGAAATGGCCGAGCGTGGGAACCCGGGCTGCGCGTGCGCGGAGCCGTGGGGACCCTTGTGTGGCTGGGGGCGGGGCTTAGTGGGATTTGGCGGGTTCTGGAGCCGCTGAGACCCACTGGAGACATAGGGAATAAAAAGCATATATGGGCGAAACCGGTTTGGCTCAGTGGTAGAGCGTCGGTCTGCGGACTGAAAGGTCCCAGGTTCGATTCCGGTCAGGGCCATGTACGTTGGTGATGTTTCTCTCTCATCGACATTTCTATCTATCTCTCTCCTTTCCTCTCTGTAAAAAATCAATAAAATATATTAAAAAAAAAAAGGTTTCTTTAAAAAAAAAGCATATATGCATATCCAATGGACGCAAAACTCTGGTGAGGGAGGGCATGTATGGGTGTGTATGTGGGGGGCATTGGTAAGATATGTACACATATAATACCTTAATAAAAAAAATGAAGAAAAAGAAAAGCATTTTGTCTCTAAAAGCCAGAGCCTGCAAGGCTGCTGGATGGTTACCCGCGATGGCAGAATCTGTCATTTTTCTGTTATCTGAACTGAAAACCGTTTTTATTTCCGTGGATGATTGAAAATTGACTAATTACAAAACCTGAAAACCTCAAAACAAACTTGTTGAGCATCACTTTGTAGAAACAATGTGAATTGAAATATTCCCCCCAAGGAATGCTTGCTCTTGGTTAAAGAATGTGCTATCACTCACAATATCCCCCACCACCCAGGCCCCCAAAACACACCAAGAAATAAAAAAGAAAAGAAAGAAAGAACTAAAAGCCAGAGCCTTGGAAGCGGGAGTGCAAGAGTGGATTATGGTTCTGCCCTGTAAAAGGGGAGTGCAACCTTGTGATCTATCGCCCTGGCTTTTTATTTTTTTTACAAGGGGAGTTTGGCTTTGACTGTTGGGAATGGGAATGAACGTGAGCATGTAAAAAGTTTTAAACAGAGATAGTTTTTCAAAAATTCACCCTTGAGAATTGGAGCTCTGTGGCTCCCAGTGCACAACTGGGGTTCAAGCAGAAATTGACAACACACTGTTTAATCACCTTATTTAACAGAAGCATCAAACAGAGGGCTGCAGAAGTGCTCTGTCCAAGATTGACTACTTTGTATTTAGAAATAGTTTCTATACATTTTTTATACATGTAAGCTTTCATTAACTTTTTTTTTGCATTTAAGTTACTGAATGAATGTATTTCCCAAGTTCTATTTTTTTTAATAATAGCATTTAACCCAGCAAGTCCAGGCCTGAGCCTGGAGGAGAATCCAGAGGCAGGGATTCCCCACATGCTATTCCCGCCTGTAGGACCTAGAGCAAGTCAAGCTTTTCTTTGCCCTTAGAACAAAATGATTGTAAAGAAACATTGACATTGAGACATTTTTGGGGTAAATCTTTTCATGCTACATATAACTTAAATTATATTTAGAGTGATTGAAACAGGCACTGTAGGTTTGAAATGTAAAAATAAAGTTGAAAATATGACCTTAAAAAGTAAAAATTGTTGCTCTGGCCAGTTTGCTCAGTGGTTAGAGCACCGGCCTGTGCACCAAAGGGTGGTGGGTTCGATTCCCGGCCAAGGGCATGTACCTGGGTTGCATATTCAATCACAGGCCCCCAGTCAGGGCTCAGGCGGGAGGCAGCCAACCCATGTGTCTCTCTCATAAAAATGTTTATCTCTCTCTTCCTCCCTTTGCCCCTCCCTTCCTGCCTTCTTGCCTTCTCTCTGTAAAAAGCAGTGGAAAAAAAATATCCTTGGGTGAGGATTAAAAGGGAATAAATAAAAAAATTTAAAAGTAAAAATTATTTTTGTGAAATGCAATAGACTTAAACCCATCTCCAGCTCACCAGAACTCTGTTCTCCCACTTACATAAAGATAATAAATATTAGTACCCTTTTTCACAGGAACAATTTTCACATTTCAAACCTACAGCCTTCACTTAGACTCACCAGTTGATAATACTTGACCACATTTGCTTTCTTTCGAGACCACAGGATAATTGTTGACATATCATGTTGACATTATGACATAAAATGACAACAACATTCCAGCTTTTGGATGGCCTGTGTGTGTTTTTTAAATTTAATTTATTGGGGTGAGATTGGTTCACAAAATCATACAGCTTTCAAGTATACAACTCAATAAAACATATTAGCACCATTATGTATCAAAGTATTACTAGAACATGCATGGCAGCATTTTGTGTAACAGCAAAACATTAGAAACAACCAAAATATCCATTAATAATGGATGTCTCTAACTAATAAAGGTACGTCATTACTACAGAACATGAACAGTATATCAGAAAGTTAGAATCCAGGACCTGTATGTACCTAAGAACATGCCCTGAAAAGAATAAAATCTTAAAAGTAAAACTCTAAAACGTCTTTGAATACCTTTTGTAAACCAGGTTACCCAGCAAAAAATTCTGTCTCTGGTTCTTTAGGAATGTATTTTGTCTTCATTAAATTTTTAAAAATGTTATTAGACCTGGAAAATATTATGCTAAGTGAAATAAACCAAATGGAGAAAGACAAAGATCATATGATCTCACTGACTTGTGGAATCTAATGAACAAAATGAATTGAACAACAAAATAAGATCTGAAGCAGGGAGGCATGGAACAGACTGACACACCTCGATGTGGGGTTGGGAGAATGAGACCAACCAAAGAACTTACATACTTACATGCATAGTTGGGGGCAAGGGGAAGGGTACAGGTAGGGAGAGAGGGGAAAAGGAGAGTTGGGAGATATCTGCAATATTATCAATAATCTCTTTATATATTACCCTAATATGCAAATAGACCCATGGTTGGCAAACTATGGCTCACGAGCCACATGCGACTCTTTGGCCCTTTGAGTGTGGCTCTTCCACAAAATGCCACGGCCTGGGTGAGTCTATTTTGAAGAAATGGCGTTAGAATAAGTTTAAATTTAAAAAATGTGGCTCTCGCCGAGACCAGTTTGGCTCAATGGATAGAGCGTCGGCTTGGGGACTGAAGGGACCAGGGTTCGATTCCGGTCAAGGGCATGTACCTTGGTTGCGGGCATATCCCCAGTAGGGGGTATGCAAGAGGCAGCTGATTGATGACTCTCTCTCATTGATGTTTCTAGCTTTCTCCCTTCCTCTCTGTACAAAATCAATAAAATATATTTTTTAAAAATGTGGCTCTCAAAAGAAACTTCTATTGTTGTAATGTTGATATTTGGCTCTGTTGACTAATGAGTTTGCCGACCACTGAAATAGACCAAATGGTGGTGGAACAATCAAACAAGCAGTCACTATGCTCATTAGAGCATGGCGGGCATTGGCTGTGGTGGGTTGGTGGAACAGGTGAGCAGGGGTACCAGACCAAGGTGGGACCCTGGTCGCTGTCATTGGGGAGCCTCTGGTGGTTACTGAAAATTCCATGCTTCTGTGTGCCGAGGTCCGCCAGGCACTTGCACCTGCTGCCCGTGCCCAGCACCAGCCCTGATCACTTGGCGCTGTTAGCAGTGTGAGTGGTGGCTGCCAGCCCTGGTCGCTTCTCAGGGCTTCTCCACGTCTCCCTGCTCCTGAGGGGTGATTGGGGCCGCCAGCTGCCTCTCGTACCCACTGCCAGTGATATCCCCACTTGCACACGCTGCCAGTACTGGAGCCACTGCTTGCACCTACTGCTGGAGCTGGCCCTGCTCACACCTGCAGCTGGCACCAGAGCCACCACTCACACCTGCTGCCAGTGCTCAGCGCTGGTCCGGAACACTAGGCACCGTCGGCGGGTATGAGTGGTGAATGCCAGCCCCGAGGGCTTCTCCACCTCCCCCTGCTCACACCCACTGAGGGTTAATCAGGGCAGCACTCACCACTTGCAACTGCTAACAGCGCCCGCCCTGCTCACACCCACTGCTGGCACCAGGCCAATTGCTCCATGTTGTGCGGGAGCAGGGATGCTGGCAGACAGGGAATGGGGACTGTGCTAGGAAGGTGCGGAGGATGGGCTGAGACCCACCCCTGAGCCCACTGCAGCCTCCAGGCCCACAGTTCCATTCAAAGTGCATTCCTCAAGTTTGCCCTAAACAAAGTCAGGCACCTCCTGCAGAAGAGATGCTTATCCTTTGCGCCTGCTCATTCCCGGTGATAGGTCTGTGTCTAGGAGCTGGAGGAGGGGGAGGGACAGGAAAAGCTCCAGGTTAAAACAAAACAGATTCTCACCATTCTCACTGAGATCCAGTAGACTTTCTTGAATAAGCACTTCTCAATTTGTTGTAATATAATACTTTGGTCAATTTCAAGTCTTTAACTGTTTGGACATTTTTGTCCACTTTTGTAATTGCTTTTTGGGGAGAGGATTTGCCAAGCTCCTCATTTAGCCATTCAAGAAGCCTCTTCCTTGCCCACTGGTACCTGTTCAGGCAGCGTACTCAGGGGACTTCCTCAGGGTCTCGATCTCTGCTCCACATGGGTCTCCCTCACACCAGCCTACAGCTGCTGCTGGAGAAGTGCATCAGCGAGAGCCTGAGGCAGCTCAAGGGGCTCATCCTACTAGACAGAGAGAGCTCCAGGTGCTAGAAGCTAGAAGGTGGACATCCTGGAAATGACCATGTACTTCCTACAGGAGCAACCTGTATCCTCCTGTGTGGTGGCAGTATTTGAGCCACATGCTGCCCGCCCACCATGACCTGGAGCCCACCCTGAGCGCTCGCCAGTTGGAGCACCTGTGGCGGATGCACTGCGGCACTCCTGGCAGCCCACCCTTGCCCTACCTATCATCCACCTCCCCCTTTGTCCCCGGCTCCCCCTAGCCTCAATGTCTGTGCCTCTGATGGCCCTGGTAGGCCCCTGGC